ACTTAAAGAACGAAAAGATTGCCGACGTTGACACGTCGTCGACGTTCTCCGTTTGGAGACGCTCGCACTCGATGTGCTCTATTCTTCGGCCGTATCGTCCTTTCCTTTCTCGGCTCTCTCTCTCTCGGCCTTACTTCCCTCGGACACATCGGCTCTCAACACTCCCCCTCGAGCGTTATCCAAACGCATCAATGTCCTCAACCTCTGGAGTCGGGGACGTGCCAATGGCTTCGTGAACGCGTCCGCGACATTGTCGTCACTGGGGCAGTAGATTATCTTGAAGGTACCGTCCTTCACGTGGCCGCGTACGAAGTGGTATCGCAGGTCTATGTGCTTGGTGCGCGATTGGAATTTTCCCGTCGAGACTAACGCTATAGCAGCTTGGTTGTCGCAGAAGATGGGTGTGGGGAGGTCTTGGACGTCGTAGAGCTCGCGGATGAGGAGTTGCAGGTAAAGTACTTCCCTTGCCACGCTGGTCAACGCTATGTACTCAGCTTCAGCTGTTGACAGGGCTATGATAGGCTGTTTGCGCGCGCTCCACGAAACGGGGCCTCCATGGAGCAGTACGATGTACCCGCTCATGGAGTGCCTATGTGGCTGCGATGCCCAATCGGCATCGACAAACGCCTCAATTCCTCCCTCGCTGGATCCCAACGTCAGCTCATAGTCTGCGGTGCCTTTCAGGTACCGCAGGGCGCGTTTGGTGGCCTCCCAATGGGGTCTCCCCGGATTCCTCATAAATTGCGACAGTGTTGCCACCGCAAAAGCGATATCTGGCCGGGTACTCGTAGCTGCGTACATTAACGAACCGATCGCGCGTTGATATGGTATGTCTCGCATAGCTTGGAGTTCGGCGTGTGTTGCAGGGGACTGATCTATGGAAAGGACAGTACCTGGTTCCATGGGCGTGTGCAGGACCTTCGCGTCCTCCAGGTGGAACCTTTCGAGGATCGTCTCGACGTATGCCTTCTGTGAAAGTGTCAAGGTGCGTGCTACGCGGTCCCTCGTCACCTTCAGCCCCAATAACCAGCTCAACTCCCCTAGGTCGCTAATCTCGAAGTGCGCGCGCAGCTCGGACTTAAACCGATGGATATGGGATATATGGTTGGCAGTGACGGCCATGTCGTCGACAGAGACGGTGATGACGACGTGTTCGCGCGAGGTGCGTTTGTAGAAAACGGCTTGATCTACTTTTGACCTGCTGAAGCCCATTTCATTGAAGGCTCCAGCTAGCTCCTGCGCCCACTCATATCCTGCTTGTTTGAGTCCAGGTAAGCTTCTTTTCAGCTTCAGTACCTTCCCTTCCTGACCATCCTTCAAGTATCCAGGGGGCGCTCGCATATATATGTCCTCCTGCAGACTCGCATATAGGTACGCACTTTTAATATCGACTTGGTGTATTTCCCAGTCGTGCTGAGCAGCCATCGTTAGGACTGCACGTATTGTGCTCATATTGGCCGTGGGGGCGAAGGTTTCGAAGAAATCGACCCCGTACTTCTGGCGCTGCCCATTTGCAACTAGGCGCGCGCGAAGCTTCAGCTTCTCGCCGTCCGGCCCGCGCTTTGTGGCCAGGACGTAATGGCATGGGATAAGGTTTACGCCTCGAGGTGCGTCTACGATTTCCCACGTACCTAGCTTCTCGAGTTGACTGACTTCGTAATTGATGGCTTCTTGCCACTCTGCAGCGTCTGGGCCCTTCAAGGCTTGTTGGAGGGTCGGTTCTGGTTGGACGGCGGCCAATGCTAGGTGAATATGCGCCTCTTCATCCAAGAGGTCGAGTTCTGACGCTTCCAACAGGCTTTCCATGGTTAGGGCTGCCGTTTGGCCCTCATTCAGCGCCGCATAGTACCCTGGGGGTGGTCTTACCCTCGTCGACCTCGCTTCAGGAGTAGATGGTTGAGGTTGCTGGGCAGTAGAAGGTTGAGGTTGCTGAGGAGTAGATGGTTGGGGTTGCTTAGGAGTAGAAGGTTGAGGTTGCTGTGGCATGGTGATGGGCTGGACGCTACTAGGTGAGTTATTATTACCGTTGCCGCTGTTATGTTCGTTGACTACAGCAGACTCCCCCTCGTCCGGCATACCATCGGCTGCCAGGATCGGCGTGAAGGTCACATTCCTCTCCACCGAGACACGCCGTCTGCCGGGCCAATACACCCGGTATCCTTTACTTTCAGCGTCTACCCCCACAAAAACTGCCTCCTCCGCCCTCGCCTCCAGCTTACCAGCCTCCAGCATATGGACGAAGACCCTGGCCCCAAATTCATGGGCCTGCGACAAGTCCGGCTTGGACTTGCGCACCAACTCGTAGGGCGTGCTGCCTGGGATCGCCCTTGAAGGTAGGCGATTCTTGAGCCAAGTGGCGTAACTAACGGCCTCGGCCCACAGGTACTTTGGCATATCTCTGCCTAGGAGCATTGCTCTCGCATGCTCGACGAGTGTCCGGTTGAGTCGTTCGGCGACACCATTCTGTTGGGGTGAGTCGTGCACTGTTAGCTGCCGCTCTATACCTTGCTGACGCAAGTATTGATCGAACTCGGCGCTCAGATACTCTCCTCCTCTGTCCGAACGGATTTTGCGCACGCGCACACCTGGTGATTGACGGGCCACCCATGCCTCATAGGACTTGAACGCGGTAAGTGCGTCACTCTTTTGTTTGAGGAACTCGAGTCGCGTCTGCCGGCTAAAGTCGTCCGTGAAACTGACATAATATTTACAGCCTCCCAAACTCGTCGTCTGCGCCGGTCCCCAGAGGTCCGTATGGACTAGTTCTCCGTATGTAAGTGCGCGCATCTTCGTTTCTCTTGGGAAGGACTGCTGAGCTGACTTAGCTTTCACGCAGACTTCACAGAACTGGATGGCGGGCGCCGGATCTATGTCTATGCCCAGGATTAGGCCCTTCTTGACTGCGTCAAGAAGGGCCGCATGTGATACGTGCCCTAGGGCACGATGGACATCATTGATGGTAAGCTTTGTCCTGGCGACGTTGGCACGATGCTTACGGTCGGACGTTACAGCGTAAAGTCCCTGGACTTGGGGTATTTCTGCGATCGTCCTTCGTTCGGGGGGAGCAGACAGTATCCTGCACATTCCTCCTTCGAACAGCACGGCCAAACCGGCGGAGGCGATCTTATTGGTGGAGATAAGGGTAAATGCCATGGAGGGGGCATATAGGACGTCTTTTAGCGTCACGGTCGTTCGTTTCGAGCCCAACGGTAAGTCCATCCTCACGTCTCCTCGTCCTGTCGCATTGACAGTAGCTCCATTCGCAGTGTATATCTTCTGCGGGGCGATCTCGACGAAGGATACAAATTTTGCCCTATCCGGGCAGAAATGAGAGGTCGCGCCGGAGTCTACTATTGCTCCTCGGCGCTCTGGAGGTACGTCCATCGATTTTGCTATGACTGCGAGGTCTGACGTAGCGAAAGCGTAGTTGTCCTTTGGCTCCGGCTCTTTGGCTACATTGGCACTTTGTTTTTGGGTGCGTCCTCCTTGTCTCTGCCGTTGATTCGGCCCCTGACCTTCTTTTCCTCCACCTTTTCGCCAACAGTCACTCTTCCAGTGGCCCTTACGATCGCAGTTCGTACAGACTGCGTCGGGGTTGGATTTTGGAGCCGAGCTCTGCGAGCTCGTGCTCCTCCCTGCATTTGTTCTCGCGGAGAGCGCACTGTTGGTCCCGCGTTTGTTGGGACGTCGTTCGGTGAGTAACCGGTGCTCGTATTCCTCTGTGATGATGGTGATGAGTTCGTAGGGCGAGAGGGGAGTTTTCGTTATCTTGGCCGCTGCGTTCATCGACGACAGTAGCGGCCGGTAGGATTCAGGTAAGGACCCTAGGATGATGGCATGAAAGTCCGTATCAATGACGGCTACCCCCATTCCAGCTAACGACTCCCTCAGGCGCAAAAGCTCTGAAAAATGAGCCTTGACGTCACCACCTTCTTCGCACCTCGTCTCCTGGAGCCTCCGTCTCAGATCTATCTGGACGAGTTCGGTTTTGCCTTCATGTATGTGGCATATTTCCTTCCAGATTTCGGACGCGGATGCTAACTTTTGGACACGTAACAGCAGCCGATCTGTGATCGTGCAAAATATTTGCTGTTTTACGAGTGAGTTCTTTTGTTGATACTCATCGGTCTTTGCGTCGAGCTCATCGATTTCTTTCTGCGTAGGTGTTGTACCATCCGGCTTCGTAACGGCCCCCGTAGAGCTCTTTACGAAAGGCGTAGGCTCTTTAGCTCGTCCATCGGTATATCTCGTAAGTCCTCGTGCACCTATAGCCGTTAACGTCCTTTCCTTGTAGGTTATCCAGTTCGAGCCATCTTCGGCGAGCTTCGGGATGTTAAAAAGGTTTGAATTGGTGCTGGGAGTCGACAAGTCCATGGAGGAGACAGGGCTCATAACCTGTGGAGGAACGATACACGCGGGAGGTTTTATGACACGCTAGAACAAAGGTACGAGTCTCAGTATTCGTTTCGAATCTCTATTAACAATTGTTTGTACCTAGAACAAAGGTACGACTAGATGTACGTCAGCGCTTGCGCTCGAACGTTACAGTGGGACTTGTACTTACGTCTCAGTATTCGTTTCGAATCTGAGACGTTTCGACGAAAACAGCGTCCTCTTATACGGTGAGTCTGCCAGCAATAGCTTTGATGAAAAATATATACTTAAAGAACGAAAAGATTGCCGACGTTGACACGTCGTCGACGTTCTCCGTTTGGAGACGCTCGCACTCGATGTGCTCTATTCTTCGGCCGTATCGTCCTTTCCTTTCTCAGCTCTCTCTCTCTCGGCCTTACTTCCCTCGGACACATCGGCTCTCAACACAAACAATTGTTAATAGAGATTCGAAACGAATACTGAGACTCGTACCTTTGTTCTAGCGTGTCGTAAAACCTCCCGCGTGTATCGTTCCTCCACAAAAACTGTGCCTGGACTACCGTATGGCCACTGTTGACGACCTCGCGAAAGCGCAGTTGTATCTACACAAGTTGTGCAGCGCAGCCATGGCTGGGACAGGTGGAAATGTAGAGTCTCATGTCATCTCGGATGCCGTCGAACCCATCCATAGAAGGCTCGACCAGATGAATAAAACACTGGTTCAGGTGATGGATAATTCCAGGATTCACGGTCTAGAGCAACGGATCGACTCTGATTCCCAAGCAAGTGAGCATCGACAGAGGTCCAGCCATCCTGAGCGGTCAACGGTTGAAAGTACGCACTGGGTATGATAATCTCGATACTTTGATAACAATCGCTCATGTTCAAATATGACAAGAACCATCCTTTCAATGACTTACAATTGTACGACCAGATTCCGATCTCATGGGACCGTGAGGATGAACTTGAAGACCCGGAGCACGTTGGTATGTTTACCGTCTCTTGTTTACATTAATGACACGTTCTTGATAGTTCGAATTGCCGCCTTTACGCACGAACAACGACTTCACCAACCTCACCGATTATCAATTGGATGATTATCTTTATTACTACCAAATTGACGTTGATGACCAAAGTACCAGGGAGACGAAAATGCATTGCCTCCGATACTTTATTATTGGTCGTTCGGTGAGCGTTTTAGATGTTCTATCTTTTGTCACACTGCGTTGACGACATTGCCGTTAGAAGTCTTGTCATGCCGCGTCTGACCCAGTATAACAAGTTTTACCACTCAATCTACACCCATAGTAGTAGTAAGTAGTACAGTGTCATTCGACCCCGACACGATCACATGACCTTAAGATTAACATCGAACCGAACCGTAAATTTTACTCAAGTCTTGCACATTTCAACTTGTTTAGTGCTCACTTCCATGGACGGCAACAAAATTGGACTATTTGGTATGCTGTGGCTGATGAGCAGGTAGCAGGATTTTCAATCGATGACTCGGAGGAGACAGTTAGTTAAACTACCTTTGGATACGACCCGACGTGCTGCGTGCACCTCTATTGCACAGAGATCAACTTTGTATGCTTCGACTTTGAAAAGGAATGTGCGTGGCTTATAAAAATTCACATAGACTGACACCTTTAGATATAATCGATCTACGTTAGCAAGCTTGCGATCCTGGTCGTCTTTGGCGAAGTAGGCCTCACCGTCGACGGCCGCTGCGGAAGGAGTGAAGGAGGAAAATGTAGGGGTCGTATTCTGGGGGATGCGAGTCAGTGGCGAGGAGAAGCTGGTGAGTACATGTCCTTCTGTCTCGTACTGTTGAATCTTCTGGAATTAGGAAGTCGGATATGTAGAATGAGCCTTTTGCGAGCTAATGCGGGGTACATGTTTGTGAAAGCACGGGAAGTTATTGCATATAACGTCCGCTCCTTGGATTACATGTCAATACAGTGCGTATACATGTGTCCCTTTGTCACTTCCTGGTGTGTTGGTTGTGTTCCCTAACTTTCTCCTTGCCATTCATCTCTCCGTGACGCGTCTTCCAACTAACCGCCACCTCAAAGGCCATCGAAAAGTGCTATGAATCAGCACCCACTACACACGACCCTTCCCCCGCACAGGTAGAAGGGCTCAGATGGTTATCTCTCGCACCATCTACAACATCTACCCCCCTGAGAACGAGCGACAAGAAGTTACCCTCCCTACTGAAATCTGTCGTCTATATTGTCATCGAGTGCAGTGTATTGTCGACCAAATTCGGGGAAATAAACATGTCGTTAACCAAGTAAGGATGCGTGCATCCTATAAAAGCCCCCAACCCTCTGTCGTCCCATATCACCTGCGAAGCCCTTCTCATTCGAATCGCCTTTTAAAGTCCTGCTGACACCACTTATCGAGGATGAAGAGAACACGCGGGGTTTATAGATTCGGATGAAGCGGATGTGGAATAGACGAAACGGCTTTGAAGCGTGGGTCCATTTAGGGAGGATGAGTGTGAATGCGAAGATGGAGATCATGTTGGTGAGCATGCTGAAGAGACCGGTCTTGCGTCCTCGCCCCGAGATTTCATTCATATTCTAAACCCGAACTCGAGACAACATCAGTCTCTTCTTCAATACCCGTGTCCATCCCACCACTCCACACGCTCTTCCTAAGCGACTCACACGACCGAAGTTCGTCTCCACTATTCATCTTCCTGAAGGCCAGCAAAGCCCGTGACCAAGTAGCCGCAAACACATTCACGCTCACCTTCACTTTCATTTCGTTTCTATCACGTGTCAGCTCAGTCAAACTTGGTCAAACCAGATCGGCTCAGTTTCACAGCTGCCGGCTTCTATCGTCTCTAGCGCTTTGTATTGTGAGCTCAAAACCAAACTGTATTTGATTTTGCAGTATACAGTAACAAGCCTGCAACTGCAGGACCAGCATCTATCATTACGACTAGCCATTGACAACGTGAGTTTACCGTCGAGGTATTGAAACTGTTCCCTACAATTTGAAGTCGATTGGTGAAAATTCGCAGCTCGCTTTGAACCCGCCTTCGGACCTTTGAATCTTGACATCGTCACCTACGATAACCAACGTCACAAGGTCATTGTCTTCAACAATCTTGACCATTTCTCGACAACCAATGATATCCAGGTAAGGGCATCCTGGTGTTACCTTTAAATACAATTGACTTGCGCTGACAGGTTTTCGATCCTCGTCGTCGACGGCGTAGATGGAGTGCAGGCTGGAATCTGGAGGACGTGAGTGAGCGAGAGGGACAAGATGGTGAGTACACGACTTATTCTTTTTTGAGCTGGGGGGTCGGATATGCGGATAATGGGAGTGCATAGTTGGTGTTTTGAATTGATTTTATTTTTACAAGTTGATACAGGGTACATATCCGTGTGAGCACACGAGGAGCTCATCATATCTGCGTGGTCTCTTCCTTGCACATCGTCCGCCTATCTCGGTTTCTATTTCCTCGCGCAACGCCATAAGCTTACCGGTGACCCATCTCCCAATGGCGCGTCTTCAGGATAGCCACCACAACTGGCGTTCAGTATCGCCCACGAAATACTTTGATGGCAGCATTGATATGGAAGGTTAGGACCTAACGCTCCTTCAGCTTGCTCCATTGTATTGCTTGATTTTTTGCTTCCCACATACCAGGAACAGGTGCTATGGCGCATGAGTACTGTCGCCATAACTTGCATGCCCTGGCTTATGGTCCCCACTGGAATATCCTGCACACATCGCTGGAGCGGCACAGACTCAGACATCGCCGAGGAGCTGATTATTCAACTAAGTACATAGCGCAAATATTTCGATGTTGTACTTGCACGCGTTGTTATGGCTTATCTGCCGACTTCCATCTCATTCAGGGAGAACTCTTGAACTGTCTTCAACACGATGAATCACAAGGACCAGGAAATCTACATACCGAAGAAAGCATAGACAGTTACTGTAACGGTTAGTCATTGATATATGCATGAAATGCACACAAGAGTTGCAAGACTATCACCATGCCAATGAGCGGTTCGGGACTGCTAAGAAAGAAGAGTTGTTTATCAGCTGAAAATTCCGCTCGCTGAACCAACGACCCAGTTTGACAACATTTGGCTGAAGAGAAGGTAGAAATCTTGCAGCTGAACATGTGTTAGGCTCGGGCCATCACTGACAACTGCCCTTGGATTGCGAGGGGTGTTTATCGTAGACGCTATTATAACAGACGCTCATACGTGCATGTACACGTTTAGTTAGGGCCTGTTCTTGAAGCGCCAGCAAGCCTTCGATGCTGTTGTGGTGATCGACTCGAGGTACCAATGAGTAATACACTGACAAGGTGCGGTTCATTAGGTAGAATACCCTGGATGTCTCAAAGGGTGTCAGTTGTCTGGTTCCAATTTTACCGTGATAACCGCTCGCCCAACCTTTTGTTAAAAAAAGTTTTTGTCTTATCGAACTCGAGATCGCCCTATGCAGGACATTACGTTTGACAGGAACTCCAGTGCCCTTGTGTGAGATGTACCCCATCAGGCCGTTTCAGGCGCTCAATTGGTTCGAAGATGAGACGAGTTTAACGTAGCGAAATTATATACAAGCATGTGATGGGGCATGCTGACGGCCCTACTCGGTTGCCAAGGCAAGCTAGTACAAGAATGGGATGCCGTGCAGTAAGAGTGCAGCATGGCTGGGCCGGCTCTCGTTGTCTGAGCGCCCAACCCTTGAAAAATCACAATCAGCACAGTATTTCATCGGACATTCGAGATAGCCATCCATGCATACCTTCACTGTGCGAGAGATATCGCTTGCAAATCCCCTTGCAGATGTGCAACGAATGCGCCGCAGTCTCGAAGCAACCGAGGATGATCTAGTCGACCTATAAGATCCCAGTCTGACTTGATCTAGGAAGTCGACAAGTCAGTTGCACTGCGACTGCATTACATGCGAGTTATGACACGAACTGCTTCGAGTGGAATGCACTCTGAAAGCCTCACTACGCTAAGAGAGTCTGGCTGTACTCTTGATACAGGGTATGTAAAGGCTCACCGCAGCTAGAAGCATGACGCGATTGGAATAATCAAACGTAATAGGTTCCTGAGTTGGAGGCATGCACTGATGTGACTGAAAGTCATTACCAGGCTTTGCGTAATGATATGGTGCAATAGTGCAAGCTAGGGACGGTGGACACACGCCAGTGTCGGTACTTGACATCGAATTGAGAGTTGGACATTAGTAACGTTCAGTACAGGGCAAGCACTACAACTCAACATGGCCGCCAGCTTGAAATGAAAACTCAGAAGGGCCCCGGCGGGACGCTGTCATTGCTAGTCAGGACTGCTGCTGCAAACCAAAGGCGTCAAATGCAGTTCGGTTCGCAGCCGATCGACATTCGGAGATGAATAAAATTTCATGAATTCAAGTACAACAAGGCTTATGTACTTGCACGGATCTTCAAAGCTTCACTTTACATCCGCTTAGCCTAAGCCATGTTGCAAACATCAGACAAGAGCGCTAGGCCTAATCAACATCGTGCTCCTTTGAATTGACGCCCGCTAGTAAATATAAAAAATGAACAGGATGCATACGATACACCCGTCCACTGATGCGCTTGTTACTTATCTGCCTCTTCCTCTGCCTCGTTGGCTCAGGAGCAATCCAAGCTGCACCTACAACACTGCCAGTGGATACAGCAGATTCAGATATCAGTATCAGCGACCATTTTCGACTCACCCCATCGTTGACGACTAGAACCCTATGGACCATCGTCTCCAGCTCCGTTCTCACCATTTTTGCGTGCACATACAGTGCCATTCACCCTAACATTCCGAGTCCTAAGGATAGTTATACGGGTATCCAGATGCGGCGACTTGGCATCATAATAATGGCATTGATCGCTCCTGAACTCATGGTCACGTGGGCTATGCGCCAGCTGTTCAGCGCTAATCAAGTCACGAAACAGTTCGAGAAATCGAAGTATCCCAATGTTCCTCTGGACTGGAAGTCTCAAGGTGAGTTGTGCTTTTAGAAGCTCTGCGTCTTACAACTCACTATACACGTCCTTAGAAAATGTGTCTGCACCTAAAAATGACTTCCTTCGTTTTCTTCGCTTCCTTCGCTTCCTTCTCATGCCTTTTTTCTTCCTCTGGCCCTTGTTTCGCCCCTTTCACCTGCTTGCTAAAGGTGTATTATCTGTGTTGGCGTGTCTTTGTTGTTGCGTTTGTAGCCCCATGAGGCGGGTTGCAAAGCGGTTTAATTCAGAGCAATCCGAGCCAGAGCAATCCGAGTCTGAGTCGGAAGGTAAGCCTGGTTCGTGCGCACATAAACGTTGACTCATGTCCATCCTTAGATCATACGTGGACTCAGGCACACAGCTTCTTTGTGTTGATGGGTGGTTTCATGCTTTATGTGGACGGGAAACCCTACCTTACACTACAGCCTGATCACATTCTCAAACTGATACAGAAAGGGTGTATCGACGTCCCTACCCTAACGGCAGACCAGATCCACGATAAGAGCAAAGGCACTGCGATATCGAAAGGATTGGTTATGCTTCAGGTGGCCTGGTTTATCATGCAGCTCGTCACCCGCGTCATCTATCCCCTTGAAATCACCCAGCTCGAAGTGGGGACACTCGCTTTTGCGGTACTTAATTTCCTAACCTATGCTGCGTGGTGGAACAAGCCTCTCGATGTGGAATGTCCACATCCAGTGTACTGGAAGTCGACCAACTCAAGGCCAGAGGATCACATTGAGTATGTATGCGCCTCAATGATTATACCGCTGCTGATTATGTCTGTCTTAGTCTGAGTGACAGAGACCAACCCGATAGCCTTGGGATATTTTCTTCAGTCCTCGGCGCAATCATGGAACTGATAGGCTGGGCTGACATTCCCACATCTCGAAAGCTGCGAGTTCCAACATTTGATGGCAGCATCAAACTCGGACGAACTTCGGACAAGATGATTCTTGTAGCTGCTGGATTCCTCATGACAACCATATTTGGCGCCATCCATTGTATGGCTTTGTTCCTTCCCTTTCCCACATACGAGGAACACCTGCTATGGTCCGTAAGTGCTATCATTATAACTTGCATACCCTGGCTTTGTTTCGTCACTTTAGTTGCTCTTCCTGTGCGCATCAAAGGAGGTTCAAGTCTCGCTCTGTTCATTATATGCCATGTTCTACATCATAGCTCGTGCCGTCCTCTTTGCACTTATGTTCACTACTTTACGCAATCTTGGTCATAACGCATACGAAGCGGTGTCGTGGACCACTGAGGTGCCGCACTTATAGTTTTTGGTTACCGTGCTCAAAATGCAATTCATACTTTTCTTCTTTTTACGAGCGAGTGTACTATGTAGCAACTCACACTGCCTAACCCTACATAAACGCTTATATCAGTATCGTGCATTGATGCCCTAACGACCATGACTTCGTCAGCGCCTCTGAAGATGACTGACAATGCTTAAGGAAATCATCATTGGAGTTTTTGACTCAGTTTCTCAACTCATTACCCATAAGTATGCCCCGAATCAAAATTATATCGGGGAAGTCATTACTTTTTCGTTCGCTAGCTAGATATGTTATATCAACCGGTGATATTCAGGCAAGAGCATCCTGGCGTTATAAACGAAGGCGTGAATTTTCATGTGTAGTGTGATGGAACGCGCGTAACAAAATAATTTTATCGTTACCTATATCCTATTCGGGGGAGAACTCTTCAAGTCGTCTGACATAAGTGAGTTACGAGCACCAGGAAATCTACATGCCGAACGAAGCATAGACGGTTACGGTTAGATGTACGGAACATGTGAACATCAATGACTACTGCAGGGTCGCTAAAAAAGGAGAGTCGTGGTCGGCTGAAAATTCTGCTCACTAAACCAATGACCCAGTTCGACGGTAGTTGGCCGAGGAGAAGGTAAATGAAATCCTGCAGTTGGACATGCGTTAGGCCAGGTCATCACTGTCAACTGCTTTTGGTTAGCGAAGGGTGCTTACCTGTGAACCCTATTAGAACAGACGCTCATATTTACACGTACACGTGTAGTTGGGACTCGTTCTTGAAGCGCCAGCAAGCCTTCGATACTGCGGCGATCGACTTCAGGGTGCCTATATACTGACATTTAGTTAAAATACCCCGTGATCTCAAAGGGGGTCGGTTATCGGGCATATACTACAATTTTAGTGACAACCGTTCGCCCAGCCCTTGAAAAACCACAATCAGTATGATATTTCATAGGTTATTCGTGATGACCATGCTTACCTTCACTCTGCGAGAGACGTCGCTTGTAAATACCGTTGCAAGTGTCCAAGAAATACAGTCTCAAAGCAACTGAGTATCTAGTCGACCTATGAGGTCCCAGAAGTTTGATCTGATCTAGAAAGTCAACAAGTGAGTTGCACCGTGAGCGAATTATATGTGAGTTATGATATCAACCGTTTCGAGTGGGACGTAATTTAGGACTATCCAAGTGAAAAACTACAAGGTTAAGTATTCGATCAAACTAGGTGACGGGTGGCGTTTTCGCAATATTCATCCTAGTGCATGAAGTATAGCTACGTTCTATGCACATTGAAAGCTCACCAAGTAGAATTATGATGGCGTTTAGAAGCCTGCGATTTGAATGATAAAAAGTCGGCTCCCAAGTTGAAGGCATGTAATAGTAACATGAATCATTACCGCGGCCTTTGGAGCGTACGCTGTAGCAGTGCAAGCTGGGGGTGGTGGACACATGCCAGTTCTGCTTGTAATTCATTAGTATCAATGGAGTTGTACATAGCGTTGCAAGGCAAGCACCACAGCTCAACACGGCCGCCAGCTTGCAATGAAAAGTCAGAGAGCGTTGTCACTGCCACGAGTCAGGACTGAGGACTGCTGCTGCAAACCAAAGGCGTCGAAATTCGAACAGAAAATTGACGTGCTCGTCAACGACCATACCATACAACCGTGACATAGCAAGGAGTCTCGATCAAAAGTGTGTTGCATTGTTGGAGACAGTTGTTGGACCGGCTGCGGTTTGGTTCGCTTCAAGTTGACATGTCGGAGTGAATTATGTAATATGTAAAGTACTCGAATGCACGATGTTACTTCAAGTAATTATATACTAGTATATCATATAACCATTACTTTCGTATCCGCTTGCCATGCTGCAAACATCAGGCAAGCCGGGGCCTCACCATGCATCGTACTACCTTGAAATGACGCCCACTGGCAAAATACAAATAGCAAACAGGATACATATGTACCATGATGCACCCCAAAGTGACTCGGACGTCCAACTTGTGATGCGCTTACTACTTCTCCTTCTCTGTGTCTTCCTCTACCTCGTCGGGGTGATTCAAGCTGCACCTGGTACTATAACTAATACAACTGGCAATGCTATCACTAGCGACAGTTTTAAAGCTCCATCATTCACGACCAGAACCATATGGTCCATCGTCTCCAGCTCCGTTCTCACTCTTTTTGCATGCATATATAGTGCCATCCACCCTAATATTCCGAGTCCCCAGGACAGCCCTAATGACATCCTACTGCGGCGACTTGGGATGATGATAATGGCACTAATCGCTCCCGAATTAATTGTCACATGGGCTATGCGTCAATGGTTCAGCGCTCGCCTTGTTACAAGAGAGTTCAAGGAATCGGGGTATCCCAAAGTTCGTCCAGACTGGAAGCCTGAAGGTGAGTTGTGCTTTTAGAAGCTCTGCGTCTCACAACACACTATACGCGTCCTTAGAAAATGAGTTTGCACCTGAAAATGACTTCCTTCGCTTCCTCGCGGTGCTGGTTAAAGGTACATTATCTGTGCTGGTGTTTCCTTGGCGTTTCCCTGGTGTTCTTGTGAGGTTGGTCAAAAGGTCCGTCAAGGCATATTTCTCAAAGAAATCTGAAGGTAAGCCGGATTTGTGCTCGCCTAAACGTTGACTCACGCTCATCCTTAGTTTATACATGGACTCAGACGCACAGCTTCTTTGTGCTCATGGGTGGATTCATGCTTTATTTGGACGGGGAACCCTACCTTACACTACGACCTCATGACATTCTCATACTGATGCGTGAAAGGTGTATCGACCTCCCTATTCTAACGGCGAGCCAGATCTACGACAAGAGCAAAGGGAATGCGATATCAAAAGGATTGGTCATGCTTCAAGTGGCCTGGTTCATCATGCAGCTCATCACCCGTGCCATCTATCGCCTCGAAACCACCCAGCTCGAAGTTGGGACGCTCGCTTTTGCGGTTCTCAATTTCCTCACTTATGCTGTATGGTGGGACAAGCCTCTCAATGTGGAATGTCCACATCCAGTGTACTTGAAGTCGACCAAGTCGATACCAAAGGATATTTCGTATGTGTGTACCTCGACAATTATACAACTGCTGATTATGTCTGCCTTAGTGATCTTCATGACAGAGACGGACCCGCTCCGATGGTGATATTTTCTGCCCTCGGCCCATTCAAAGAATTGATGGGCGATTCTGGCATTCCTACATCTCGAAAGCTCCGAGTTCCAACATTTGATGGTAGCATCAAACTCAAACCTCTGGACACGATGGTCATTCAACTTGCTGCATTGAGTATGGCAACCGTATTTGGCGGCATCCACTGTCTGGCTTGGTTCTTCACCTTCGTCACGCATCAAGAACAGCTCCTATGGCGCATATGTGCCCTCGCTATAACTGGCACGCCCTGGCTTTTATTTTTTGCGATTTTCACATTTGATTCAGCACATAAGATGGTCTTGACATTTATAACTTTCCCGATTTTATTGGTATCAATTCCATTGTACATTGTAGCTCGTGCTATCATTTTGGTACTCATGTTCACCACTTTACGCCATCTTCCTGCTGACGCATACCAGGCGGTGTCGTGGATTAGTTTGGTGCCGCACTTATAGTTGTTGATCACGATACCTGTTGTATACTTCATACTTTTACAATAATGCAGCAACTATTCCAGGCTCCTAGGTAACCCAAACTACACGACTCACATGACTTACACGTGTGACACAGTGACGGCGGATGCTTCGAACCAAACAACTTACGTTCAATGCCCCAGTCTTGTATGTTGAACGTGCTCATCACCATGGACGACAGCGAGATAGACTGTTGGTACACTACAGCGGATGAAACGGACGACTGATAAGTAGGTAACAGAATTTCCAATCGACGAAGAGACAGTCACCTTTGGGTGCGACCCGACGTGCAGTGTGCGCGCCTCCGTTTACCCAAAGATCAACGCTCTGCATACAGAAGATATGCGAAAACACAAGTTTGTGGCATATTTCTCTGTGTCACCTACACTGACACCAATGAATCATTTGTGCTGGCAGGCTTTTGATCCTCGTCGTCTTTGGCGAAGCACGCCTCACCGTCGACGGCTGCTGTGGAAGGTGTGAAGGTGGAAAGTGTGGGCACCGGATTCTGGAAGACGCAAGTCAGTGACGAGGAAAAGTTGGTGCGTACATGTCTTTCTCTCGTACTCTTGAATCTTCTGAAATTAGGAAGTTGAAACGTTGAATACTACAATATTATGTGGAATGATATGACTTGAGCCTTTTTCGAGCTAATGCAGGGTATTGGTACCGGCATGTCACGTCCGCTCCTATTTCAATTGACAGGTTTGATGATGACTAGACTCTTCGTCCGTTGAAGTATTTGATGATTGAGCTGCGCTTTGATAAGCAGGACCATTTACTCCTGCGGATAGGAGGTACGCATGTGATTGGCACCACTCGATGTATATATATAACCTCCTAGCGTTTAACTTCCAGTCAAGTCTAACAATGTTGATTCAAGTACCACTCTTCTCAGAGTCGTTATCTCAAATCAAGCGGCCATTGCCTCCTTCAGATCCACCAACCAGTCAAGACATCGTAGACGCAATTTTCCTCCTTGAGAAGGTGAAGGAGTTTTTTGGCCCCCCCTGTAAGCTGTGTTCCGCTGTAGCGGCCTGAGCTACTCAATACATAAAATGCCCATAGCATTCGAGAGAAGACTGCGCCGGGACTACTGTATGGCCACTGTCGACGACCTCGCGAAAGCGCAGCTGTATCTACACAAGGTGTGCAGCGCAGCCACAGCTGAGACAAGTGGAAATCATGTCACTTCCGCATCTCGTTGAACCCATGGATAGAAGGCTTGACCAGATGGATGAAACACTGGTTCCGATGATGAATAATCCCAGGATTCACGGTCTGGAGAAACGGCTCGACTCTGATTCTCAAATAAGTGAGCATCGACAGAGGTCCGGCCACCCAGAGGTCCCACAGCGGTCACCGGTTGAAAGCACGCACTGGGTATGATAATTCCAATACTTCGATAATCACTGCTCATGTTCGCAACGTAGTTATATGACAAGACACAACCTTTCAACGACTTACAATTGTATCACCAAATTCCGATCTCGTGGGGCACTGGTGAGGATAAAGACCCAGAGCACGTTAGTATGTTTATAGTCTCTTATTCACATCAATGACATGTTCTCGATAGTTTAAATTGCCGCCTTTACGCACGAACAACGACTTCACCAACCTCCCCGGTCATCAATTGGACAATTATCTTTATTACTACAGAATTGATGTTGATAAACGAAGTACTAGGGAGACGAAAATGCATTGCCTCCGATACTTTATTATTGGTCGTTCGGTGAGTGTTTGAGAGAGTCTATCTGTTGTAACACTGCGTTGACGAAATTGATGTTAGAAGTCTTGTCTTGCTGCGTCCTGCGATCTGACCTAGTCTTCCGTGGACAAATGTTCACCTCCTATGTACACCACATAGTGTACATTCAACAAAAAGGGCTAAATGTTACATCATATTTGCGATACCCAAGGGATCAATCATCCTGCGGGTGCGCCTTATTACGTCGAAACAACCCAGCTTGAGTCCGGGACGCTCGCTTTTGCGGTCTTCAGTGTCGCCTCTTATACATCAAAAAACGTTGGATCTGGGTTCATTCCGACGATTCTCGACCTATCTTAAAATCGGTGATTATTTGGCTGATTGTCGCCGAATGTTTCCATTTCCGACGATAATCCATCACTGGTCAAAGTCTGGTGAAGGATATAAAACCAGTTTATTCTAACCAGGTCGGAGGATGTATACGTGAAACGGTATTAGTACCACCCCGATTGAGATGAAAGGCTGATACATCCAAGAGCTTCCAAATAAGAGTATTGAGTACCCTGAAGGGTTGATTCGCAAAGAGGTTTTCAACAGACACGACCTGTTGTTGAGTCAAGGAGTGGGACAAAAGCCTCCGCCAGAACTGCCAAGATCTTGTCGGAGCTCACGACATGGGCTGCTACTGTTACGATGAGCTTCCCATCTGTTACAATTACGGTTTCGGCCTTCTTTGGAAGAATTTGAGTGAGCTCCAGAATGTGCAAGGCTGACTTACCTGGCCGGGTGCTCGAAGTGCAGCGTTTGGTATCTTGACAGTAGAGGTTTGAGAATCAACAACGTGATGGTGATTATCACCTCAGAACATGCGAGGACAAGCACGGCCTGAATCGAATACCACTCTGATCACGGATGATCCTTTCAGGCCTTGGAGACGATAAAGATCGCAATTGGTGGCCAGCTGGTTATATAGAGTGATTTTGTAAGTTACTGAGTTAAAAATTGGTCGGGGTAGGACCATCGTACTTACCTGATAGCGTTGAAATTCACGTGCCACTGTACAATCTCGAGGCGTTATGATCAGCAGGGCCAATTCCACCAAGCCAAAAAGCCCTGAACATGAAGAGTGACATCGTATCCTCCTCCTTCTGCTCGAATTTTGAACCGAATGTAGTCGGGCGCGTGCGTACCAGGTTCCAGGTGTGTAAAGTATGCTTGGTGAATGAGTTGATGAGATGCAGATTGACAGGCACGACAAGGATTCGTCGTATTGATATCACGGTAGCTCTTGAATTCGGTTTACTCAGCTTCGTTTATTATACCGGCGGCTCTGAAATGTCTCTCAAGGGACTGATAGTTGGGCGTCGGGCTTCCATGTGGATGACAGATGCTGTCATGCTGACCATCCGCCCAAGGCGCCTCGTAGCCTAAATTACGCGATCACATGACCTGCACGTTTGGCATGACGCGAACCAAACAAACGCCGTCAAGTCTTGCTTGAGCTTGAACTTCGCTCATCACTATGGACGGTAGCGAAATGGGGCTGTTTGGCACGCTGCGGCTGATGAAACGGACGTCCGATGAACAGGTAGCAGCATTCCCAATCGACGAGGAGGCAGTTACCTTTGGCCGCGATCCGACGTGCAGTGTGCGTCTCTATTACCCAGAGATCAGTGCTCTGCATGCAAAAATTGTATTTCAGGAAAGAAAGGTCCGTAAACCGTTTATCTAAATCTACTGAACCGCTGGAACTCGCTAGCAGGCTTTTCTCGTCGTTCTTGGCGACGCAGGCCTCACCATCGACGGCTGCCCCGTGCTCCCATCCACCAACGCCTCACTTCCCACAACAATTCCCGTTTCCAACAACTGCGAAATAGAAATACACAAGAAACGTTTCATATTCTCTTATCCGCCCAAGCAGCTACGTTCTCCGCTATACAACATCGATTCACCCGTTAAGCCTGAAAATGGTGGCGGCGGTCGGAGAAAATTACGAATGAGCATGATCCATAGCGCTCAAGTATTCACCCCTCGTGGAAAACCCTCTTCAGATCCACTTGCAAACCTCCGAATTCTCCAGAGTCCACTCAAACAACTTGTGCCCTCCCCGCGCAAGCCCTCTGCGCTGAAGAACTCCCACACCCCAGAACCAGAGGAAATAGAAGAGGAAATCGTGCTTGTGGAGTCTAACACTCCACATGTCGTACAGGAAGATAGGGATCTTGTTATCCTCGAGCATGTCGATGTCCAAGCCCTTCCTCCGCCCACCCCACCTATGCATAGGCCAAGACCAAGTATGAACATATACAAGACTCCGAACAAGCGTACTCGCTCCTCGTTGCACCGTGCTGTACTTATTCGCAGTGTACATCGTGCCGTCATGGCACGTGAAGAAGAGGATGAAGAGAAAGAAGTCGAAGAGGTGATTGTAGGCGAGACGGCTGTGGAGGAGGTCGAGGAGAATGAGAATGAGAATGGTAACGACGAAGAATTAAATGACAAGCACGAAGGAAGTGCAGGGATCGAGCATGAAGAATCTGACGAAGATGGAAGTGGCGCAGACTCAGACACCGCTGAGGAGCCTACTCCTCAACCAAGCACATGGCGCCAATCTCTCAATGCCGTGCGTGCACGCGTTGTATGGCCTTTCCGCTCGAGTTCCACTGCGCCCGAAGAAAACGATGACGACGATGACCAGCAAGATGAGGATGAGGACGAGGTAAGCCTCTCTTTTTTTCTCTTTGTCATGCTAACCACGAACATCAGCACGATCGAATGGACATCGACCAGGACGCTCAGCCCCCACCCCCATCCTCCTCCCCACCTCCTGCTTACATGGCACCCCAAGCCCAACCACACCTTACACCTGCAAGAGCCCCACGACCTCTGGGCTCATTTATGACGCCCCAAGTATCGCACCTACAATCAGGTATCAACGCTGGAATTGGCCGCGGTGCGGGACGCAACTCTTTTGGTGGAGCGTTGCGCGTACCGTCACCTTCTAAAGTGTCGGCACCATCTGGTCCTATAGAGACATGGGGAGGTGCTAAGAGAGTACGCGTCGAGCCGAAGTGGCGCATTGGAGATATTGAGGTGCGAGGTGTGGAGGAGGTGAAGGAAGAGGAGAAGGAAGGGACAGGATTTGGGAGGACGCGGGTGAGTGAGGAGGAGAGGAAGGTGAGTACATGCGTTTGCTTTTACTTTTCTGGAAGTTGGGGAATGGCACGGAGGGTGCAGTTTGAGTTTCATTTGAAGTGGCCTCTCTATAAGCTCGGATTGTTGTGATACAGGGCGCATATATATTGCCGCCTTTTTGGTGTCTCTTGTCATCCCTCTTGACCTTCTTTTCTTGTAACATTTCTCTCCCAATGATGCGTCTTCCAGCTAACCACCAACATCCAGGCCATCCAAGAACGCCGTAAATCAGCGCTCACTACCCCCGACCCTTTCTTTGCACAGGTACCAGGGCTGCGACGGCAGTCTGTCGCACCCCCCACACCCTCTGCCCCGAGTGACAGTAACACGCAACGGAAACTGCCCTCCCTACTTGATTCTGCCGTCCGTACTGTTGGTGAGCGTAGTGCATCTCCCACCAAATCAGGCGAGAGGAGTGTATCGCCAACCAAATTCGGGGGGAGAAGTACATCTCCTACGAAAGCTCCCATGTATTCGGGCCCCTCATCCCCTATGAAGCTTTTCTCTTCCCCTGTGAAATCGTTGGAAATGCCTGCGAAGGCGCATACGCCTTTCGGGCGCCCTCCATCGCCTTTGAAGGCACCGCTGACGCCACATAGTGAGGAAGATGAAGAGGACACGCGAAGTTTGTTGGATCGGATGAAGCGAACTGTGGAGGAGATGAAACGGCGTAGGAGTTTGGGTCCATTTGGGGAGGATGAGCGTGAGTACGAGGAGGATGGCGAGGATAACAACACAGCGGACGCTGAGCAGCGTATGGATGTCGAGGAGAACACAGAAGAAGACATCGATGAGGAACAACAAACAGGCGAGGAAGAAGAAGAAAACAGCGATAAAGAGAACGGCCTTGCATCCTCGCTCCGGGAACCTCGGTCCTCTTTACACCCTGAACCTGACCTCGAGATGACTGACTCATCCGAACACATGCCTGCACCTCTCTCGCCCACACGCATCGCGCTTGACCTTGATCTCGAACTGGAGAGGACACCACTACCCCAGCTCACGCGTCCCACCTCCCGGCCGCAGCACAAGAATGCACCGTCGTTTGCGGGGCCGCAGACACCTGCCCTCGCATCACTCAAGCATCTCTTCCCTCCCCCAGCGCCGGTGCCAAGTACGCCGGCAGTGAAGAGCATGCGTTCGCTGTTCCGCGGAGCTGGCAAGGGCACCGGGATGGAAATGGAAATGGAAACAGATATGTTGGAGGGTGTTGGGGAGATGATGGTTACACCTGAGGGGTATCGAGCGCGTGTTGAGGACGTGGATGAAGGGGAGGGTGACATGAAACGGGAGGAGCAAACGAACAGGAGAGAGACGGAGGAGCAACGCAAACCTGTGAAAACTACCTCCCGCAAGACCCCTGTTCCTGTTCCTGCTTCTGGTCCTGGGCCTACGACGACAGCAGCTCGTCGTCGCACGAGAACTACTACGGCCACGGGGGCTACTGCCTCCAAGGAGAGGGAGCCACCGACTTCCAGGACTGTTTCGCGTGTGGAGGCAACGGCCACGAAAAGGGCACCAATCGTACTTCCAAAACGTGCAGAGAAAGAGAAAGAAAAGGCAAAAATGCCAGTACCAGCACCAGAGCCAGCACCCAAACCAGATGCAGGAGACGAAGCAGAAGAAGACGAGATTCGAGAGATTCCGCCTCAGTTTATCGCCCAAAAGAAACCTGCGAGACCGCGTCTGCTTCGTGCGCGCAAAGGGATCACAACTGATAATTCGGTATGCATCCTCTTTCTTGATTGGTCTTGTGGATAGCTAATCATAAGTTGTTGTTTAGGACGAAGAGCCTGCTGCTGCTCCAAGGACCCGAGATGCCAGTACTGAGCCTAGGATGCGTCCTGCTAGTACCGAGCCTAGGGCTCGTGTAGCTAGTACCACAACGGCGAGAAAAACGAAAATGGACGTTGTTGAAACAGTAAATTTTCTTTTTTTCTTCCTATCGCAATCTCATATCTCATTTCACTCCCACAGGCCCCCAAAACTCGGGCAGCCCGCAGCCGTGCCACCCCCGTCCCAGTCGCTCGATCTGAGCCTGCGAAAGCACGCCCACGAGTTCTTGCGAAGCCCAAGGTCGCAATCACAACAAGCCGTGCCCCCTCACGGAGCAAGATGCGTAGTACAGAAGATGACGACGATGCTGATGGGGATGACCCCCTTGATTCGATCGCGCAGCCTGAAGCTCCAGCTCCTACACAGAGGGCGAGACGCACGCGGGCAGTGACCGCACCTGTGAAAGAGGAAGACATCGATGTTTTAGTTCCTGGGAAGGCGAAGAGCACAACGACGACCCGTAGGCGTGCAGTAACAGCGGTGGATAAGGAAAATACCCCGTCGAGTTCGAAGGAAGATGAGGGTGAGCGGAAGAAGGAGGTGGAGGTGAAGCGCACGACGCGGGCGACGAGGTCACGAGCGTGAGGTTGTGTCGAACTTCTGGGCTTTGTTGGTCTAGTCGTCTGTTCTAAATTTCTCTGCCAAACAATTGTACCAATCACCTTACTACGTATGTTCAATGTTAGGGTGACATGTATCAAATATGAATACTACTAGTGTACGCGGACGAGTAAGCTACCAATGGCTATGCTGACTTTCTACTAACTCAGCCCTCGTCTGAACTCTGGAGCACTTGCGAGTATGTCATGCGCCGTCTGCCAGAAATATCTAGTACATCTACTTTCTCCCACTCGTCCTCGTCGGTATCGCTGCGGTCATCATTCATGGGTATGACTTTGGGGTTCGAATCAAGGATCTCAAAGTCCCCCAATCGGCTCTTGGCTATGTTCAGGTTGATTCAGTACTTCGTTCTAAGGTTATGATGAAGATAATGCGCTTCACCTGTGCGCTTGTGCTTGGAGGGTAAAATTTGCGCGCCATCAGAGAGGGAAAACGTTGTGCTAAATGACACAGGGGCAAAAGTTTCTGATGCGTCGTATTCCTCGGCGTCGTGAACATTATCGACCGAACAACCGTCGACCGCAGCCGCGCAAATGTAGCCCCTGCTTTTCCAAGTGGAGCCATCCCCACGTCCGGGATTTCGACGCAGGATGGATCCATTAGCGCGTTTTCGGGAATGCTGCGCCATAGCCTATTTAATGAGCGCTTCCCAGTGCAAGATAACCACTGCATACCTTTTTCTCCCATGCCTTAGCGCTGAGAGGTGGCATGTTTGTCTTGTGTTTAGGAGGGGGAAAAGTCGGTGCAGTGTTAGTCTGAGTAAAGGGCCTCCCAAGGCTTTTATGTTTGAGAACATGAGTCAACAGCTTGACCGACTTTGACTAATGCGGAGCATGTTTGATTTGCGTGGAGCCGAACCTAAGCGGAGTCATTGGCTCACGGAAGCGATGACTACTTTGACTGTCGACTCATCGTCGATCACTATGATTGGATGTGAGTCTACACAGCATGACAATAACTTTAGAGCGGTGTAAAATAGACAGGGAAAACCAACAATCTAATTAATAGTCTCCGGTTTCTCGCTGACAAGGTCAGGTGGTGTGTCGCAACCACTGGGAAAATCGATAACACGAGTCTCCTGAATGCGAGTGGTTTTACGGCTATTGAGTCTGTGTCCGCATTAGCTCCAGCCCTATTTGACCCGCCTGAGCAGAGTGACTCACGCGGCTAGGAGCGAGTTTGTATAAACTATTTTGAAATTGAGGAAATACGTATATTAAGACGTGAAAAGTAATGCTCACCATCAGCCAGAATGTTGTAAACAGCAGTCCATAAGACTAGAGTGGAAATGTTCAAATATGATTCCATAGCTATGACGAACTGTCTCACAAGTATCCCTCATGGCACAAAACTATTGACATTAGCAGCACTCACCACAATCGTTATTGAAAGGACTCACGAAGACAATAATTAAGACGGAAGACATGCTGTGAATATGAACCTCATGGTCAAACCTTCGGATGTAAAGTTTGCTTACCTGGTGGCAAGACCAGTTTCAATTGCCCAAAGGGTTAGACGATCAGCGATATTATGTATTCTGGAAGGGAATCGTTTAGAGGAGAGAGACCTTGAGATGGTACAGCTTACTTGTGAGCTGTGGTTCGCCTGCGTTCACGCTGCAGGAAATACACCAGACCAATCGTGATCACCAAATCGCAAGCAGCGGCTGCAACGAGAGTCAGGATTGTCAACCAATTTCGTGCGTTTTCCGTTGTTCTATTCGTAGAAATGTCCAGTGCCTTGGCTGCATCTACCAAAGTGCCGGTAAGGTTCAATATGCTGAGAATGCCACAAAACGCGGCGATTGTCCTGCTTCCTGAGAATTTGAACAACCTGTAGATGAAAAACATCTGCATAATTAAGTTGAATGGAACCGTGCTTGAATCGGTCGTTACCTACCTGAACAAGAGTGCTAATCAGGGGTGTCAGGACGATGTTTGCGTCCCGAGAACTGGAGAATATGGTCACGCCGTCAGGATTCTCGTAACCTGTAACGGTCAGGGTCCATGTCCAATACATGATGCAAATTATATGTCCAAATGTGAGCATCCTGGGATGAATCAGGCCTCGAGGTCGATATCGAGATGCATCGATACATACATCACGACTGCCACCTACAAGTTCAATTAGCTTTGACTGGAAGCAAGGCAAAGATAACGCACCAAAATTTGGAATACTCTTCTATCATCTGGAAAACGCTTATAGTAAGTGTATGTTTGCATCGTCGAGCAGCCAAATAAGTAGCCGGCGATCATCGATCCAACCACCGCTGGTCCAATAGTTATTGCTGCTCCAGACATTGTGAAGGTAAGGTTAGCGTATTAGATCGACCCAGATTATATATATTCATGCGGGCCTCGTATGCTGTTCGTAAGTTATATTAGCATGATGACTCTGCGAGGCGTCAATCTGTCACTGAGTGGGTACGCGTACGCTATTAGTACGATACTGATGATCAGCCGCAAGGAAACTAGATGCCGAGCTCCGCACTACAGCATCCATAGAATCCATCAAAAAATAGTGTCGGGAACGAAGATCTTGCGTCGTATCTCTTCAAGTTCAACCAAAAAGGTAAAGTTAACTCATAGAGTCGGTGTTCAGCTGTGCTATGATAAGCAGCGGTAGCCAAGCTATGTTGCTCTGTGTTACCTAGGCGATGATGCGTGAGTAAGCCAGCGGGGATTAATATTCACCCCTTGACGTTACTGTACCTGGTTAGACGAAAGTCAAGACTACGCACGTAGTTGTTTGATGTTATTGAATTCGGAAGTCGCTGACTCATCCATCTATAATTACCCTTTTCTGACTCGGTTGCTTCGAATCACGTTGATCTTACTTAGCGGTACTTACACTTGTCTCTCGAACAATGTCCCAAACATTCTCGGATGCTGAAATCGAAGAGGAACAAAAACATTTCTCTAATGTCATCGCAACATTCCAACAATATGCCCAATACTCGGCAGGTGTTTTTAATCATCACGCACCGCACTGTCCTTATGCATCGCCTGCTCGTCCGACATGTTCAGCTAGCAGCTAATAACAGGCGACGAAAAGACATTTACACACTTTCTCAGGGTGACAAAGATCTTCTCGATGTCCTTGGGTACCGACAAAAACTTCAAGAAGTGGATAGAGCCATTCTGGCCAATGCAGAATTCTTGAAGCTGATTGTAGCAAACCCCGAAATCTTCGGCCATGATCTCGACTCTCCTAAAGATGCAGATGAGGACAAGGCTGGCTGCGGTACTTTGCACGAGCATTCGCATGGTTTGTAGTTGTACGAGAAAGAATCTGATTTGTGCCTAACATTGTCAATGTTATGCAGGTGACGTGCATTCACATTCTCATAGTCACCCGCACCCCCACAATCACTCGCATGACCATTCGAATGTCAGTCAGCATCAGCGAAAGTATAAACCTACGGACTTCGACATGGACAAGTTGCGAAGCACCCTGAAGCAATTTGTACGAGACTGGAGTCAGGAGGTAAACTTATAATTCTGCCCTTTTCAGCGTATATAACCTGGGCTTGCAATACAGGGAAAAGAAGAACGCGAAACGTGTTATATGCCAATGAAAGACGCGCTGGTCGCGCATTTCTCGGACAAACCATCTCCGGAGTTAAGGTTAGCTTAGGCTCTAAATTCTCCTCTGGACGATATAGATGTATCACTCCACCAGGAAAAATATCCGGGTGCTCGTTCCTGGTGCAGGTCTCGGCCGGTTGGCTTATGATGTTGCGAATTTAGGTTTGCAGAGTTCATGTGTCTCTCTTCTGAATCGGACTTAATCGATTTGCTAGGGTTCGCCTGTCAGGGAAATGAATTTTCTCACTATATGCTTCTTGCATCTTATCTTATTTTAAACAGGTGAGAAAAGCAGGGATCTGAGTGTACTGGCTTAAACATTTGATTCTGGTCGCAGGACTGACACAATTGGACAATACACCATATACCCTTACGTCCATTCTTTCTCCAACCTTCCTGACCGCGACGCGATGTTACACCCAGTGAAAATACCTGATGTCCTTCCCTCGGCCCTACCGGCTGGCTCGAATTTTTCCTTAGTTGCGGGTATGATTATTGACAGGTCCTTTTAGTATCGTAGCTTCTCAACGTTTCAGGCGATTTCGAGGAGATTTATGGAGCAGAATACGAGGAAGGCGATGTCGAACCACAGGCGGGGCAATGGGACGCTGTTCTGACATGTTTCTTCATTGACACTGTGCGAATTCGCTTCTGCTCATGTGTATTCTATCCTAATGAAGCTGCTTCAGGCAAAGAATATTGTCAACTACCTTCGTATAATCCACAGGATATTAGCACCTGGTGGAGTGTGGATTAACATGGGTCAGGACGGTCGTTTCGTTTAGTTTTGATGCTGACCACATATTAGGTCCGCTGCTTTGGCACTTTGAAAATAATGCAACCAATGATCCATCTATTGAACTTGATCTCGAAGAAGTCAAAATACTGGCTCGAAAAATCGGCTTCGTGATATCCGTAAGTCTTTATATCGCATTCCGCTGTGTAAATCTGACGAGGGCGATCTACTATCAGGATGAGCGAATGATAGACACGACTTACACGAGTAATTCCCGGTCTATGCTGGGATACGTTTATAAAACTGCTTTCTGGACGGCGACGAAAGCTTAACGATAGATGCACCACGAGCTTCGTGCAGCCTTATGTGTGGCAGGTAAAATGGTAGTTGATGTCGGGTTCAGATGAATTGTGCAAGATACGTGCGTGTATCCGTTGTCCGCCCATCTCTAGTATCAGCAATCACATCGTAGCTCTTAATATGCTCTGAGATTAGGTATTTCTGCGCACTCATCACGAGGCTCACCCCGGTAGTCTCAGGTAAGCAAAACAAGTTGAATAGCCATCCTAGCAGATTCAGCCCTGTGTAGAACTCAGCGGGAGTAATTTTCGGCAACCAAACCAGGTATGAGATCGATAACGTATCCCTGTGTGCTCATTATGCATCCCCCCGCCCAGCTTGGATCTCTTGCTGCATCTTCATCTCTCGCTTTTTATTCCTCATTCTCTGGCTCTCCCGGATCCCAAAACCATCTTGAAAGACGCTCTGGACCTCCTCGAGGCTCAACCCAGCAGTCTCGGGGAAGCAGAACAAGCAAAATAGCCATCCTAACAAGCACAGCCCTGCGTAGAACCCAAATGCACCGGCGGGAGTAATTTTCGCCATAAGGGAGAGGTATGTAGAGCCGATGAGAAGGTTGCCAGCCCAGTTCGTCGCAGTCGAGAGCGATGTACCAATGCCGCGGACTGCATGAAAACGTCAGTGCTGAACTGACAGGTAGGAGAAATAACGATGCGACCTTCGAGACCAAAGAGCTCGCCTTGCTGCCACGGGACGTTTCCCAAGCCCGTTGCATACGATGCCACGAAGATGATCATCGAGAGAAGAACGATCGCTGACCATGTTCTGGAGTAAGACGCGCCATTGACTAGATCGCCACCTGTATGCAGTGTCATATCTACCAAGTCCAGGTCCGTCATCTGACCCTATCGTGTAATCAATAGAAAACATACAATGGAACGCGATGCTGGCAAGGGTGAGACCAAAAACCATGCCAGGTGCAGAGAACACCATGATCTTCCGTCGTCCCACGATATCGATATACTTTAACGCAAAAAGTGTGAAGATGAAGTTCGTCCCACTGATGATCAGTCCAACTGCTGTAGGCTGGTTGAACCCTATCTCCTGGAAGAGCGACGCAGAGTAATACATGAGCGTATTGAATCCACAGAGTTGTTGGTACGCTTGCATGCCGCATCCGATGACTTTGCAACGTCAGTACGGGCAAGACTGCGCGAAGCAATGGGTATGTCTTACTCAGTGCTCTACGATTTACGGGAACGGTGATCATGGAGTTGAAACGCTCAAAGAAGGTCGTGGAATTTGCGATGTCGATACTCTGCTGTACCGATGCGCGGAGAACCTGGAGCTATGAGGTGGTTCAGACTATTTGCTAGTGCTCGGCTGACAAACTGCTAAGAATACCTGTAAATCAATCTGTTCAGCCGTGGCTTCCGAGTAGACACGTTCTAACACTCTGTGCGCGGCCTCTATGTTGCCCTTCCGGATAAGTATCCTTGCTGCACAACGTTAGCCATCCCTCAGCAAATGACGCTATATAACCAGCGGAAAGAAACTCACGACTCTCCGGTAAGAACGCCAGACATATCAATTGAATACCAGCTGGGACGGTACCAAGTCCAACCATCCACCTCCAACCACCACTCACATTTGCAAAGCCTGCATCGATTCCATAAGCAACTACCTGCCCAAAGGTGATCATTACAACGTTCAACACGACCATGCGCCCGCGCATGCGTGTAGGCGACAGCTCTTGTATATACAGAGGTGCGATGCACGATGCAACACCCACGCCGATACCGATGAGGAACCGGCAGCCGATCTAGCAATATTCAAGTTGGTGGTCAGTGTGTGGTAAATGAGGGCGTATGAAGGAAACATACCATACTCCATACCGTATGACAGACTGCCTGTCCGAGAGCTCCGCCGACGAAGATGATGTCTGCGATGCCAAGGGCGGGTCGACGGCCCGTCCAGTCTGACATGGCACCAGCAGCAAGGCCCCCGAGTAATGCGCCCAATGTGGTGGCTGACGTGATGAATTCCTAGAATGACGTGGTCAAGTGATCATGGAATTGGGTCTTGGATATCCGGCTCACCTTTTGTCCATCCGATAATTGAGCCGGGCCAAGGTCTCCGTTGATGGTAACCTAGAGTACCAGAGATTACCCCAGTATCATAACCTGTTTTTGCATCGTATGGTTGATCAGTCCGTTGCATGAAAGCGAAGCACACGGCCCATACCAAATAACAAGCCAGATATAGTGCAACAAGCCACAAGAAGCCAGACAAACCAAGTGGTGTGTTTCTCGACCTCTGCTACAGCTGCGTATTGCGAGATATCTCCAGCGCCATTTCCTCGAATTTCATACAACTCATCTTGCGTCTGGTCTTTCGTTTGGCGCTTCTCGTCAAAAGAAGACTGAGTCATAATGGAAAATGGAAATGTAGGCGTCAATGAGTCCGCTGACCACAACTTTGTGTCTGAAACGCGTTCTTATACCTGGTTAGGCGTCTGGTGGAGTTAGATATGACTCGGAACATCATGGGGTTTCTACAACTGGTTTTCATCAGACAATTTCTGGTATTATAGATCACGTGGAGATACTGTGGCGGTGATAGCTAAATGCGTACTGGATTATTATTGAGACTGTCCGGTGTCAAGAAATGTACGTAGCAGCCCCGCTTCACCTGTCTCGATCAACTATCAATCGCAGGTTGCTGTTTCTGGATTGCTATCTCATCCTAGATCTGATCCATTTGAAATAACAGCTCAGTCAATAGCATCGACGTCACAATTGTTGGTGGCACCAATAGCAATTCTCATACGCTGACACCACTTGCCAGCGAAGTGGTAATCGATAATGCTACTATACTACAGCGTTCTCTCTCACATGTATGCGTCGTACTCCATAATTCCATGCATGAACTCGCTGTCGAAGCTCTCACACGAGCTCAAGCCTTGCTGCAGCCATCACTGTAGGCTAATGGTGAGTGAGAACAATTCCTAGTTATCATCAAATACAATGCTCGAGTCGGAAGTGTTCCAAGGTGGTAACGCTTGACGTGGAGCCATAGACCCGATGAAGTTCAGCTGCAGCAATAGCAAGGGAACATTGTATCTTTCTTTCGAGCTGGAGACTGATATCTTGGCATAGCTGGACTACTGTATCCTTTGCGGTCCCTCATGTACAAGCGGAGGCTAGGTTTCAAACACTCTTCTCCTTCGCACTGTTCAAAGCTTCGCTCTTGGTAGTTGGATTGAATCCACAATAGCATCTGGATTCTCGTAGTGAATGCAGTGGCCGATGCCCGGAAGAACTCTGACATTCAGTCTCTCAACGTCACTAGGGATGTGCTCCGTATCACAAACGGCGCCGGCCTCCGGATCTGATGCCAGCACGGTGATCTTCACATGAGGGGGGAATGTTTCTGAGCAGGCCACTGAAAGACCATGGCTCGTTATGCTGTTCATCACAACGGCAGAAGTGTCAGCAACATTCACCATGTCCACAAGTTGCAATATTACCGAGAAGATTCCCTCGACAGTGGTACGGTCGCACATTGAAACTCCTAATACACGTAACACGCAGTCACGTCGTGACCAACCACGATCATCATCTATCTCCTCGATGGATCTGATATTCGTGACCTCGTTCAGAAACCAACCTTTATGCATTTCGCTTGTCCCCTCTATCTCGAGAGGTGGATCGAGGAGTATGACAGCAGTTTCTTTCGTTTTGGGCAAGAATTGCAAGAGCGACAAGGCCTACCGGGCCTCCGAGATGAGTGACCTATAATCACGTCGTAGGATGTGTCTTGGATGAAGTATGGTCGGAGATCCTCTGCAAGGGTGGACACACGGTAGTCGGTCCCTCGTCTCCATGCATGCCCGAGGAGATTCGGTGCCACGACAAAGAACCCTATGAAGCATGTTGAAAACAGAGCATCATAACCTATGGTATCGACAAAACCTGACCTTCTGCTACTAATAGCTGAGCGAGGCCCTCCCATGCACCCGACCATTCAGTCAACCCATGAATAAGCAGAGCTTTCTTGGGAGCAGTAGGGAAAACCCCATTGGGACGCCGAAATTGAGGCGGACATACTAATATAGCTTCAGAATCCAAGTCTGACTTGCAAGATCGAGGGAGGCACTAGAATGAGAAGTAGCATGTAGGGAAAAGTGTGCATTTAAAGGGCGTACAGCACATACTGACCAGAGTAGTCGTCTGACACCGAGACCCTATTGATAGGTGCCACGAATAACCCCTTCATCAAAGGAAGCGCCCTGCGGCTGACGGAAAACCGGTTCCAGAGACATGACGTGTCTGCTTGAAATGCAAGAATCACTGGGGTCAACTCGGGTAAATAAAGGAAAAACTATTATTCGAGCAGACAGACATACTATGCAAAGAAGTGATGCAGATACCTTCCTCGGGAACTCGGTTCTTCCATCCAAAGAGCTGCATCTGCCTCATGATGCAAGATAGCCGAGGCCGTTATCTGCGTGCCATTGAAACATGACAATCCTGCCAACGACAATTGAAATCAGGAAGCCTTCCGAGTTGCAAATGGTGCTAGCATCAGTAAACCGGTGAGTTCTTGCTGGGGATTATGCTGATTATGGTGCTTTTACATGGTCATATATTGCTTTATATCACTTTATATTACAATGTGACGAAAACCTTTCCTATATATTACGATATATAACGATATATGACGATATCTTCTTCTCACAGGTTCTCTGATGGCCAGATCGCGGATCAACAAGCTCGTAAAAATAGAAACACGCCAACCCTTCGTTATCTGTTGCTGCATTCAAAGGATTACCATGAGGCTTTCAAAGCACGTCGCTCTGGTTTATGCCCTTGTAGCAGGCAGTGTTACTGGTTATGTCTTTCCTGATTGCGAAGGTGGACCTCTAGCAAGCAACGCAATCTGCAACACTGCTCTTGACCCCATTACGCGGGCAACTTCCTTGGTCAAGCTGTTCACTGTTCCAGAGCTGATTAATAATACTGTCAACAGATCTCCTGGGGTTCCTCGTTTGGGTTTGCCAGCGTACCAGTGGTGGTCGGAAGCCTTGGTAAATATGTTTAACAGAGTCTCGGAGTCTGCCGAGACTGACTTGCTTGTGTCCAGCACGGAGTGGCGAACAGTCCAGGTGTCAACTTCTCGACGTCGGGCGAGTTCAGCTATGCGACATCATTTCCCCAGCCGATCTCTATGGGTGCTACTTTTGACGATGAGTTGATCAAGTCTGTTGGAGGCATTGTGGGTATGGAGGGACGTGCCTTCAATAACTACGGGCGCGCGGGTCTGGACTTCTGGACACCAAACATTAATCCGTTCAAAGACCCTCGATGGGGCAGAGGTCAGGAAACACCTGGAGAAGACCCGTACCACCTTTCCCAATACGTGTACAACCTCGTGGTTGGCTTGCAAGGTGGTCTTGACCCAAAGCCTTACTACCAGGTCGTTTCCACCTGTAAACACTTTGCGGGCTACGATCTCGAGGACTGGGATGGCACTGTTCGATATGGCTTTAACGCAGTGATCACTTCTCAAGATCTCGTGGAATACTACCTCCCCTCATTCCAGAGTTGTTATAGAGATGCCAAAGTTGGTGCTGCCATGTACGTACTACCACAACTCCGTACGCAGTAGAATTATGTCGACACATTCTATCTGTTGATAATGCAGGTGCTCGTACAATGCTATCAACGGTGTTCCTTCTTGCGCAGATCCATACTTGCTTCAAGATATTCTCCGTGATTTCTACGGCTTCGCACAAGACCGATGGGTATACTCAAAGTTACTTTACTTGTGTATAGTGAGTTGACGACTTGCGAACAGGTCACGAGTGATTGTGGTGAGTAGAGTCCGGATAGTTACTTGGCATCATGATCATGCTTCACTTTCCAGATGCCGTCCAAAATATTTATTCTCCTCACAACTATGCTACCCCTCAACAGGCTGTCGCAGACGCACTCAAGGCGGGAACTGACCTAGATTGTGGCTCCTTCTATGGAGAGTGGTTGCCAATCGCATACAAAGAGTCTCTTATCACAGAGACCGACCTACGCACAGCTTTGGTTCACCAATACGCCTCGCTCGTCCGGTATGGCGCTGTCCTGCATGCCATTTTTCTTGCTGATACAGTGTTTCAGCCTCGGTTACTTTGATCCAGAAGAGCGACAGCCTTATAGAACATACAACTGGAGTAGCGTCAACATTCCTATCGCTCGACAGCTTGCATACCGAGCTGCCGTGGAGGGTATTGTTCTCCTGAAGAACGACGGTACTCTACCACTCTCAAGTAGCATCAAAAACATTGCTTTGATCGGCCCGTGGGCAAATGCAACCACCCAGATGCAGGGCAACTACTTCGGTGTTGCTCCCTATCTCACCAGCCCCGTCATGGGTGCGATGGATGATGGTTATAATGTCACCTACGTGTTGGGCACCAACATTACATCTAACGACACGAGTGGATTCGCTGCCGCTGTTGCAGCTGCAAAGGAAGGCAGACGCTGTCATCTATGCTGGGGGTATCGATCTCACCGTCGAGGACGAAGCCCTGGACCGCTACTCGATTACTTGGCCCGGCAACCAGCTCGACCTTATTGCTGAGCTTGAGATGATAGGCAAGCCTTTGGTTGTGGTGCAATTCGGTGGCGGACAACTTGATGACTCCATTCTCAAAGGCAATGCTTCTGTCAGCGACCAATTCCTCTTTCTACTTCAATTGCTCAATAGTTATTTTAGGTCAATGCGCTCGTTTGGGCAGGGTACCCAGGTCAGAGTGGTGGAAAGGCTGTTTTCGACACCCTCAGTGGCAAGGTTGCGCCTGCTGGGCGCCTTCCTATCACGCAGTACCCAGCAAGCTATGTCAACGAGATCCCCATGACGAATATGAACCTCCGTCCCAACTTAACGAGCCCGGGCCGTACCTATATCTGGTACACTGGCATGCCTGTCTACGAATTCGGATATGGCGAGCACTACACTACATTTTGTTATAAATGGGTGCGAGCCCCTGCAACATCATACAGCATCCAGGCTCTCATTGATGGAGGGAAGTATGCTGCGTACTTGGACGTCGCACCGTTTGCTACGCTTGCTGTTAGTGTGACGAACACCGGAAACAGTATGTGAACTATAATTTATCTCACCCTACCACCTCATTTCCTTATCTTCAGGGACATCTGACTATGTTTCCCTTCTTTTCGCCAGTGGCATGTATGGAGATGCTCCCTACCCTAACAAGCTTCTTGTCAGCTACACCCGCTCTCATGGCATTATGCCGGGCACCACTGCAACAGCTGAGCTACCGATTACACTTGGCAATCTCGCAAGAGCAGATACCGACGGCAACTTTTGGCTCTATCCCGGCACTTATGAGCTTGCGCTCGACACTAGTGGAGTTTTGACCTCCAAGTTCAAATTGACGGGAAGTGCTGCACGGCTCACTTCCTTCCCGCAAAACACCATGACTTCATAATGTCGTACGGCCTTGTGATTGACGTTCTGCCATGTTTTTGACGTGTTTGTCATATGGACAATTGGAAATTGATGCTCCGAGCAACTACTAGATTCGATGATCTTCGCCGTGGGTCCGTAGTCAATATATTGTTAGATTCGAAGCTAAAGGGAGTGCGGCGTAAGAAGCTGTGGCTCTTCCAATCAGCCGGTGCTGGGCGCCTGTTCTTTTCGTATAGTTACGATATCTACGATAATATGGGTGAAGATTCTTGCACTTTCACTGATCTCTCAGCCTGTAGACGCCATGGCTTCAACAGGCATGCCAAGGGATACTGCCATCACGATGTGATCAACACTGGAAGGTGCTCTATACGGTGAGTATCGCAATGACCCTGTCCCATACCGAGGGTTGACACTTCTTCAGGCTTTTTTGTTTTCATGTTTTTGAATACAATTTGTTCTTTGGCCTACAACAGGACATCAATCGCCCATCATCTAATGTCATTTGCTGAGCGAGACTGAACTGTCGGGTCGCACCTCCACTTCTCATACCTCCCGATGGTGGCTGTTACCGCTGAATGCCAGAGACATGGCGCTACTGGCTTTTGGCATGGTTTGTCTAATGGTAACCGATAGTGTTATTATCAACACTGTTCTCTCTCATATGCATGTATCGTACTACATGATTCCATGCATGAACTCGCTGTCGAAGCTCTCACACAAGCTCAAGCCTTGGGGATTGTCGGTAAGGTCTGCGGTAGTGATGCTATACCAGCGATCGCATGGCTATAACGGTGAGTGAGAACGCTGTCATCAAAAATACAATGCTATGGAGTCGGAAGCGGTCCAAGGTGATACCGCTTGACGTGGACCCATAGACTCGATGAAGTCGAGCTGCAGCAATAGCAAGGGAACATTGTATCTTTCTTTCAAGCATGAGACTGATATCTTGGCATAGTCGAACCTACTGTATGCTTTGCGATACCTCATGTACGAGCGGAGGCTAGGTTCCAACAGGAAGTTCTAGACACGGAATTGGCCATAAAACTACGAAACACGCTTCTCCTGCGCACCTCTCAAAGCTTCGCTTTTGGTAGTTGGATTAAGTCCATGATAGCATCTAGATCCTCGTATTGGATGGAGTGGCCGATGCCCGGAAGAACTCTGACATTTAGTCTCTCAACGTCACAAGGGATGTGCTCCGGATCACAAAAGGCGCCGACCTTCGGATCTGATGCCAGTACGGTGATCTTCACATGAGGGGGGATGTTTCTGAGCAGGCCACTGAACGACCATGGCTCGTTATGCTGCTCATAACAACAGCAGAAGTGTCAGCAACATTCACCATGTCCACAAGTTGCAATATTACCGAGAAGATTCCCTCGACAGTGGTACGGTCGCACATTAAAACTGATAATACGCGTAACACGCAGTCACGTCGTGACCAACCACGATCATCAGCTACCTCCTCGATGTATTTGATATTCATAGCCTCGTTCAGAATCCAACTTTTAATCATTTCAGTTGTCCCCTCGAGCTCGAGAGGGGGATCGAGGAGTATTACAGCCGTTTCTTTCGTTTTGGGCAAGAATTGCAGGAGCGACAAGGTCACTGGGCCTCCAAGAGAGTGCCCTATAATCACGTCGTAGGATGTGTCTTGGATGAAGTATGGTCGGAGATCCTCTGCAAGGGTGGACATACGGTAGTCGGTCCCTCGTCTCCATGCATGCCCAAGGAGATTCGGCGCTACGACGAAGAATCCTATGAAGCATGTTGAAAACAGAGCATCATAGCCGTGGTATCATAAAACCTGACCTTCCGCTACTAATAGCTGGGCGAGGCCCTCCCATGAACCCGACCACGCAGTCAACCCATGAATAAGCAGAGCTTTCTTGGGAGCAGTGGGAGAACCCCACTGGGACGCCGAAATTGAGGGGTGCATACTAATATGGCTTGTATGATCAAAACTCTGCTAGCAGAGGCTGTTCGAGTGAAGAGGTTCAGAATTCAAGTCTGACTTGCAAGATCGAGGGAGGCACTAGAAGGGGAAGTAGCATGTAGGGAAAAGTGTGCGTTTAGAGGATGTACAGCACATACTGACCAGAGTAGCCATCTGACACTGAGACCAGGCTTTCCCTATCAATAGGTGCCACGAATAACCCGACAAATGTGGGTGACGGAAAACCAGTTCGAGTGATATGACGTGTCTGCTTAAATGCGTCGCCGCCACTCATCGTAAGCATTTCGATCTTGGAGTATTTTTCTTGAAGAACTAGTACCGCATGGCCTGTGAGGCAAGAATGTAAGCATGTTAACAAAGTATCTTCTGGACGAATGAGACTGAACAGCGACGCTGCGAAATGGACCTGCGGACCCTTTACAATACCATGTGCCCCGATTTACCCACAGCGGCTGTACTTGAGTCTACGGAATAGGAACTAAAGACCGACTATCACAGCTGAACTTCGAGGAACCTTGCAAAATGTAATCTCACCTGGAGTCTACGCTTTCCCAGAGATTTGTACGTGCTTCTACCTTCACACTCGCACTCTGCCTTTTACCACGTTCACGTAGACATTTCGAAATTATTATGCTCCTAGCATTGTTTGTTCGTCGTTGACAATAAGGTGTTAGCTATTGTTAGATCGACTTCGGAGCTAAGGGGCGTGCTGCGCAAGAAGCTGATCTTGTATGTAGTGCTTGGTCAATTGTCCATCCAAGTTCCAGAAGGGCCCAATCTCGGGCCAATCAACGGACCAGAACAGCCACACGGAGGCATTTCGTCCCAAATATGGTAAGTACGAGTTGTCGGGACGTTACGAGCGGTGGTGGTTAGATGCTCTTGCTTTCATTCCATCATGAGTTCGCCTTACGCAAATGTGCCCCGACCCTCTCCACGACCGAGCCCATCTAGTCGGAGACCTTCAACGATTGCAGAGCTCTCAGAACGTGCTCTTTCCAACCTTTGGGATCCTTCGAAAGGTCTCAAGCAATGGCTCAAGAAAGCAGATGGCTTCCGGAAAGCTGGTAGAGCATATACCGAGGCTGGTGAACTTGAAGAAGCCTTCATGGAATATGCAAAATCTGCGACGATAATTCTTGAGAAGCTTCCGATGCACAAGGAGTACTACACGTTACTGTCACCCACGCAACGCCACAATCTTGGTCTTGTGAGTAACTCGTGCCTGCTGCCTTTCTCGTCTCTTCCGATCATGAAATGTGTACTTTATCAAAGTACGATATGCTCTTCATCGATCCCTCGTAAAATTGATTTCGGTGCGACTCTGTCTAACTCTCCTTTCAGAACGGTCAACAAATTCTTCTTGATCTTGGTGAAATCAAACCAATCATCGTCGACCGCTATGAAAGATGGAGAATGCAGAACATTGAATATAGCAGACCATCGTCATCAACCGGTCCCCCAGAGGGGAGCAGGCACACGGAGTACAGGCGACAAGATGATGGTCGACGCTCCCCCTTTGACGATTCCGGATGGCTAGCACAAGAAGCAGTCCGTAGAGATGCTGAACGAAAGCGTGAGGAAAAGCGAAGGGGAGATGAGGCACGTTATTCTATGCGATCAGTCGAGACACAGCCACCGCGTCTACAGATTGATACCGGCAGCAAGAAAAAGGAAGACGCATTGGCAGCCGCTAGGCGCGCTGCAAACGCACAGCTGTCCGATCCGACGTACTACAATCGCGAAGGCACCCCTTCTTCGCCTGTGACCCCTGTGAGCGCTGTGGAAAAACGGAGAGAGCATGACGAGTTCAGGAAGCATGAAGACCGTAGAAGAGACGAACAAGATGAAGTTAGACGAAGACGCAGGCGGGAACAAGAGGGTATTCTAAAACGTCAAGAGGAAGCAGAGTTCGCTGCGCGGGAGGCTCGCCGTAGCGTTGTTCCTTCACCCATGCTTGCGCCATCCGCAGGCGGCTCCCAGCGTTCGTCTTTTATGGATCCACAATTTTATGAAGACGTTGCTCCCCTTCTTATGCCTATCGAGAGCCCAACAAGGTCAGCCTCCTCGAATCTTGAATTTATACATCTATAGACTTGGCCATATAGGAACCGCGCTACAACTCCAACAAGCTTGAAAACGTGAGTATCTCCTCGTCATTATTGGGTGTATCTCATTGTCCCTTTAGCCCGTCTTATCCTGCACCAGTAACCACAACATCGCCTATTCCACCGGATGGACATATTCAATACCCAGAACTCATGTCGCAACACCAGCTCAAGCAAGGCTACGCACCTTCTCTGCAATCAATGTTTAATTACCCCACTCTCAAGCCCACCAATCTTGTACGATCTTCCCTACTTTTCGTACCGGAATCTTCTCAACTGTCTACTAATCAACTTCCTGATCCATCCGTGGTTGTCTTGCCGAGTCAGCCGGCGTCATACCCATACTCTCAGAATACGACGCGGTCGACTTCTGATGTCTACTTTGATTCTGCATCCCCGTATTCTTCTCTTTCACGAGCTCCTCAGGCTGCGCCTCCACCCCCTCCCGCTCCCGTACGTCATATCGATGGTGACCGGTACCGGACTGCTTCTCAAGAGTCTGCACGGATTACCCGTAAAGCTAGCGATCCTGTCCAAGTACCCGACCTGAAGACTGTGAGCTTACCACGAGAATGCCTTCCGCGGTTCCTGTCTATCGCATCGCTGAATACGGCACGAAATCGCGAAACTTGCGGACTATTGCTTGGAAAAGACAAAGGAAATAAATTTACTGTCACGACACTCTTGATTCCAAGGCAGCATTCGACAAGTGATACCTGCACTATGGACGAGGAAGAGCTCGTCCTGCAATTCACAGAAGAACGATCTTTGATTACCTTGGGATGGGTATGTTTCCCCCGGCTGTCCTGTGCATCTGCGTCTAACGATCTTCGTTAGATTCACACCCATCCTTCACAATCTTGTGGGTCCTCAAATTTAGCACAAAATCTCTTGCTTACTGGCCCTTTACGAAGGCTTTATGTCGTCGGTTGATCTACATACGCATTCTGGATTTCAGCGCATGCTTCCGGAGTCCTTTGCCGTTGTTTGCGCCCCAAAATTCTCTCCCAAGTGCGTACCACATTGCTCATACCACTCGTGTCTTGATTTTTTTCACGGTTAGCTTTGGAATTTTCCGCCTCACCGACCCCCCAGGCTTGCAAACAATCTTGGACTGCAATGTTAAGGAAGCCTTCCACCCGCACCCAGAGGTGCCGATCTACACAGTGCGTAGCTTCTGGAGTGGTTCGTCCACAGCTATTGATCGGTTGTTTAGGACGCAGACAAGGGACACGTGCAAATGAAAGACTATCCCGCTGGAGATCGTGGATCTGCGATGATGCGTAGACGTTTTCCTGACTTTTATCTCTAATTTACAAACGCAGCATTTCTGACACTTGGCATCTGTACAATCCGCATCCGTTACCCCCTACATGCACACGCCTTGGTATCGGATACTACAGCACTTGTAAGATGACAGTCGTATCATCCATGTAAGGGACAGGCATGTCTACGTTAAGCATACATGAGACTCTGTCGATGTCTTCTGCGCCCAGAGCGTGTCTTAACAAGCGCAGCATTGCCTCCTGAATATCGTCTTTCACGACGTCGCCTACTATTCCCACCCACTTCTGGACGAGAGATGCTAGGGATTCGACATGATCTGGGTCATCCATGTAAAGGCTCAACCAGCCCGTCGGAACACATCAAGATAAAGCAGTCGCAGCTTGACTGCTCGTGAAGGTCGACATAATGAACGCTTGCAAGATTTGAGACGTATGGTGGGCTCAGATTTCGTGGAATGAAAGACTCGATCGCAGCAGAAACACGAAATCCCGGTTCTACATTCAAAAATATTTTCTCAGTGTAGATGCGAGGCAGTTTGGAGCTGTGGTCGCCAACAGCTTGACGCCGCATCACAGTTAGATCAACTGATCAAATACATTCGATTGGCTTACCTCTCGTGACAGCAAGATTACCGGGCACTCTATCGTCGAAGATGCATTCTGGTTCGTCAGGGTGTTGCTGTTTGATGCGATCGGCCTCAGCAGGGTTGTTGCCATTGTGATTATCGCTCAAGATGGATGCATTCCATTGTGAACTCGCGTCTCGTCTACTTCCGAGCACTGCTCCAAAGTCGATGTCAGTGATTTCCGCTTGAATCTCCACCTCGGCTTATCCACTAAGCCACCACCGAGATTTAGCACCCAAAGATGTTTCTTTGTAGGGTCGACGAGCGTTAATAAGATTGTAGGTCCCCTTAAGCAACATAGAGATTTCTGATAATTGAGTCCTCCGGAAGATTTCCCGTTTTATTGCTTCATCCACGTCAAAAATCGCTCTGGTGAGAACATCTGAAACGCCCTCCAAGTTGGCCACCGTGGGCAACAATCCAGCCATTAGAATGGGGGTCAATTCGGCAACGAGGTAGTCAGCCGTTTCATGTCCTCCGTGTCCTGTATAGGATGTGTTTAATTGATTAATAAAATACGTCGGGGAAGGTGTATTTGTGGTGCTTCATAACACGCACCATCGAAGACACAGTTCAACCTCCGGACACCGTTTGGAAGGCGTAAATCCATGATTAGATACCTATCCTCGTTGACTGAACTAACGTGAGGCTGGAGAGAAGCGTCAAGGCTCCTTCCGTCGCTTGAGATATTAGTTGTGCAGCGTTTCAGGATCTGGGCACGTAGCTCGTGCTCTGGAAAGAGACGGTAACCCCAAGGGCCGCGATCAGACCCATAGCCTTCCATGTACGCACGACGAAACACTTAGAGGGATGGCATGTACTCTGTTCACTAGCAAGAACAGGACCCTGCGAGGTTAAGGCATGCGGCACGGCGTGCAGCTCTAGTAGAGTGATGGAACTGTGTGAAATTTACGGACCGTGAATCCACAATGATTTGAATATTACTCAATCATTGCTAGTCAGTAGGGGTAGAGCCTTCAAGCGGGCGTCGTCGTAGGTAGCATGATATCATCATTGGGTTGAGGCCACACCAGCTTCTGCTTGCCAGAGGCAGACGTGACGTTGCAAGCCGTGCTAGTCCAACGCGCGGAACTATTGACTTCCGAGTCAAAGATCGCGTCAGAACAAGTCGACCAGCACGTCCTTATGTCTCTGTACGTGCAGGGCAAGTTGAGCCGCTTCATCACATACACTTAGATCGAGACTGACGGTGGTAAGATTAGGAATGCCGAAGCGCCTGTGACATATCAGCATGATGTCTAAGGGCGCCTCTGATGAAATTAGTTTTCGCTACAAATCAGCAGCAACATTGTAATCTGCTGTTTAGTGCATCGCTCAGTCGGACAACCACAAATTCAGGGTCGGTGCTAGGTATAAAATAGGAAGATAACCATAGAATCAAATGGTACACTGGATATTGCAGCAATAAAATCAATCATCGTCACGTGGAGCTGGAGGAATTGATGTTAGCAACTGCGAGGACAGATGGTAAAGATTAAAAACTCACGCGTCTCGGCAACTCGACCAGCGCGTCCCATGTGCCATGGAGCTCAAATCAAGCTCAACGCCTCCTCTCGGGATCACCAATGCAATGTCGGGAGAATAAAACAAGTGTCGGGAAGCGGCCCCGGGAGGTACCCAGAAAAGAAGCTGATGTTTGGGTCCCATGATCCATCCATCGGGCTGCAGCAAGAAAGGGGTTGAATTAGAATGATGATCAGAGGTGGGTTCGAGCAAGTCAGCAGAGTTGGGCAAGGCGTGTTTCAGGCAGGGCGAGAAGGAAATGGGGGGATGGTCATAAGTGTTGATTGGGGTGATACGACTTTCTTGAGTGAGAGATGCGGCACTTTGATGCGGTGGGGATGCAGAGGGATCTGGCTCTGTGGACTCGGGAAATGGCAGGACTTTCATAAGCCACACGGTGTTATCATTTGAACCAGACGCGATGCGGGTACCATCCGGTGAGAACGAGACTGACCCAACCGGGCCAGTGTGCCCCTTCAAGGGCTCACCCAATGGCTGTCCCGTCGCTGTATTCCACAGCCGCACGGTGTTATCCCATGAACCAGACGCGATGCGAGTACCATCCGGAGAGAATGAGACTGACCGAACCGAGCCAGTGTGCCCCTTCAAGGGCTCACCCAATGGCTGTCCCGTCGCTGTATTCCACAGCCGCATGGTGTGATCCTCTGAACCAGACGCGATGCGAGTACCATCCGGTGAGAATGAGATTGAGTAAACCGGGCCAGTGTGCCCCTTCAAGGGCTTACCCAATGGCTGTCCTGTCGCTGCATTCCACAGCCGCACGGTGTTATCCTCCGAACCAGACGCGATGCGAGTACCATCCGGTGAGAACGAGACTGACAAAACCTTGATAGTGTGCCCCTTCAAGGGCTCACCTAATGGCTGTCCTGTCGCTGCATTCCACAGCCGCACGGTGTTATCCCATGAACCAGACGCGATGCGAGTACCATCCGGTGAGAACGAGACTGAGCTAAACCTGGTCAGTGTGCCCCTTCAAGGGCTCACCCAATGGACTGTCCCTGTCGCTGCATTCCACAGCCGCACGGTGTTATCCATGCGAACCAGACGCGATGCGAGTACCATCCGGTGAGAACGAGACTGAGTAAACCGGGCCAGTGTGCCCCTTCAAGGGCTCACCCAATGGCTGTCCTGTCGCTGCATTCCACAGCCGCACGGTGTTATCCCATGAACCAGACGCGATGCGAGTACCATCCGGTGAGAACGAGACTTGAGTAAACTGCGTCAGTGTGCCCCTTCAAGGGCTCACCCAATGGCTGTCCTGTCGCTGCATTCCACAGCCGCACGGTGTTATCCATCGAACCAGACGCGATGCGAGTACCATCCGGTGAGAACGAGACTGACCGAACCGGGTCAGTGTGCCCCTTCAAGGGCTCGACCTAATGGCTGTCCTGTCGCTGCATTCCACAGCCGCACGGTGTTATCCGATGAACCAGACGCGAATGCAAGTACCATCCGGTGAGAACGAGACTGACCAAACCATGCGAGTGTGCCCCTTCAAGGGCTCACCCAATGGTTGTCCTGTCGCTGCATTCCACAGCCGCACGGTGTTATCCGATGAACCAGACGCGATGCGAGTACCATCTGGTGAGAACGAGACTGAGTAAACCGGGCCAGTGTGCCCCTTCAAGGGCTCACCCAATGGCTGTCCTGTCGCTGCATTCCACAGCCGCACGGTGTTATCCTCCGAACCAGACGCGATGTGAGTACCATCCGGTGAGAACGAGACTGACCAAACCAGGCCGGTGTGCCCCTTCAAGGGCTCACCCAATGGCTGTCCTGTCGCTGCATTCCACAGCCGCACGGTGTTATCCTCCGAACCAGACGCGATGTGAGTACCATCCGGTGAGAACGAGACTGACCCAACCAGGCCAGTGTGCCCCTTCAAGGGCTCACCCAATGGCTGTCCTGTCGCTGCATTCCACAGCCGCACGGTGTTATCCGATGAACCAGACGCGATGCGGGTACCATCCGGTGAGAATGAGACTGACCGAACCGGGGCAGTGTGCCCCTTCAAGGGCTCACCCAATGGCTGTCCGGTCGCTGCATTCCACAGCCGCACGGTGTTATCCGATGAACCAGATGCGATGCGAGTACCATCTGGTGAGAACGAGACTGACCAAACCGCGCCAGTGTGCCCCATGATTATGGCCTGAACAACCGTCCAGTTCAAATCGCGGCCGGATACCACACGAAGGGTATTCGGAAACCCAGGTGCAAATTTGTTAGCCATTGTAGAGTTGACAGGCGAGAACGGGAGTGCTGATAAATAAAGATGGGATGTGCTGTGCAAAATCATGCCGCCAAACACTTGCATGAATCTTTGTACATCCGTCGTGGCGGACCGCAAATCTTCGTATCCAGAATGGTCCTGTATATATGTATGAGCTCTTCATCCGACTCTGCCTCATAGGCATGTGCTCACCTTCAGCCACATGGCAACGAGTGGAAGCACAACGATTGCACCGCTGATTGCATCGAGAAGTCCGAGGGACTCAATCCAGAACATCAGTCGCTCGTCGTCGAAGAGCAATTGTATTTCCTTTGCAAGCTTATCGTCAAAGTCTGTTATTTCAACATGCGTGGCCCAATATCGACAGGAATAGGAGAGATGTGGGGGAATGGATGTTTTAACTCGTTGAGGCAGTTCTGTGTCCTGGGAATTAGGGAGGTGCGACGATTTCAAATCACAGATGTTGAAGCGAAGGCCATCTTGTCGGGCCATCATTACTCCCAGTGACGCAAATGCAAGGTCGCGTTGTTGCGACTTCGTTCTCTGGATGAAAAAGTCTCCGCTGGATGATTTGTCCGTGAGGAATTCATGAAAGGTCGCATGAAGGGGTCGGATGGGGGTATATGAGTCGGTAGTGCCGCTGAGGAGGGATCCCATCCGCTTTACCACATCATCTACTTCGTAACGGTCGTCGTCCTCCGGGAAGTGCTGTCGCATAGCATTCAGTGAAGCTAAAGGGAGGGGTTCGGATGTGGCAAGTATTTGGCCCATCACGGACCGAAACTTCGCTACTGCTTGCTCGTACTGGGCCGTTGTGTACTTATTCTTTGGCATGATTTCTGGTAAGATGAGTTCATACATATCATACAACAAGTTTTTCCGCTCCCCAGGATTGCGATTCATGACAGCATTGAAACAATCCATCGGGGATAAGCCAGGAAGGTCTTCCTTAATGTATTCACATGCAAGACGTGCCCACTCGAAAAGTCCATCGGCTTTCGCAGCGAGGTCTGCAAACTCCTGGCGCCCAAAACGTGGCAGACCTTCTAGCTTGTCAGATACAAAAGCATGGATGTCGGACTCCGCTACTTCTGCTGGAATCTTGTCCATGGACAAGGGTAGGATATGATCAACACCTTCAAACTCCTTTTCGATATCGGGAAGAGGTCGAGAGGTGACGAGAATCCGAAAGTTGGAAGGGAGCTCTGTGATTTGGGGAAGTTTTTTGTTCCGAAGTTTACCGGCAAGTATGCGGAGAAGGTCCTGCCGCGTCTTATTCCGCCGCTCTCGTCCAGCGCATCGATCACGATCAAGACAGGCCCCACGCTTGATGCAGGGAACTTCTTCAGCGGTCCCATGAGAAGCTCGCGCCACTGCTGGATAATGTCCCTTGTATTCTTCAGCGAGGTGTTATTTCCAACTGCAGCCGCTAACGCTAGTCTCGTCCCCGGATCACGATCAGCAAGATCGAGCGCGATGGTGGAGAAAATCTTTTCATGGAGACGATCTCCTTCTCTGTGCCGATCAAAACAAAAACATGAACCGAGGCCTCCCGTTTCCTTGAACCAGTTGGCGATCGTGTGCGCGATGGCTGATTTGCCCTTCCCTGCAGGGCCGGACAGCCACATTACACGCGGAACGGAATCTTCGCTGTTGTTGATCCATGCGGTGATTTGGGAGAGAATGTCCGTGCGAGTGCCTGACAGACATTGCTTGCCAGTGACTACTCCTGCGCCCCCTGCATAAACCATGCCGCTGAGATCGAGCGTTTCACCTTTAAGTGTATGAGTCAGTGCAAAGACAAAAGCATGTCAGACTCCTTACCTGTACGTTGGACGAAGACGACCACGTCCCGATCAACTTGGTCCCGGAATTGCTGCATGAGTTTGTCCAAAGTGTCGTTGTACTGTTTGACGACGCTGTCAGTTTCCGACAGAACGTTTTTCCTGAGTCTCGTCCCTATGATGAAAGTGTAAGATTCGTATACGAAGTGCAGTAGCTTGGTGACGCACAAAAGCTCTTTGTTTCCGAGTAGTCCCTGATGAAACGGGCACACTCTTGAGTCTGCTGAACGATCTTTCCAACGATACCGCGCATCGATTCAATCTTGCCAAGATTTTCATCCAGAGTCATGAAGCGATAAACTTCGGCCAATTTCTCGAGAAGACTACATATCAATTTGTCACGCTCTGCTTGAGCGATTATAATCTACAGAGAGTTATGACTTCTGAGCAGGGTACTGCACTCCGGGAGAAACCAAACATACTTTGGATGCAGCAGACAGCACGCCCAGCGCCATCTTTGCGTACGGATGTAGCTATACAACTTGATCAGTTCGCTTCCGATAGACAAAAATAGCTCATACATCCGCGATCTTGTCAAGGACACCGTCAATAATCTTTAGGGGTTGGAGATACGTCTTCTCGAAATCAGCCGCGGCAGCGAGACCCGCTGAGGCACTGCCAGCGGCGGATGCCGCAGAACTCGCATGTTTCCCCGGTACTCTCATGCTTTGTGCACTATCACAAGCAGCCTGAAGTTCAGCGCTAACTAATTGAGTATCAGGACCTTCCTCCTCGCTAGAAGGAGCAGCCTGAACCTGCGTGATTGCCGAAATTAGAGAAGAAAACCTAAGTACTTGACGAAAATACCTGTGAAGCAGGCTCTCCAGGCAACCCTTGGTTCACGGAGTCGCTGGGAATCTGAGCTGCGGTGAGATGCTTGTTGTTGGAAGGATAGAGACACGTGTAAGAAAACCGAAGGACTAGGATAGCAAGTTCGACCGCTTACCTCGTTTTTCTGACTTGATGAAGCCTCCATTTCGAGGTTCTGGACCACGGTAGTTGAAGCATCTCGAAGGTCTGCGTTCTGGTTCGCAGGAGTGCGATTGCGGAAACACTTGAAAGGTTTCTGCGCCATGTCAGCCATGTTCAGAATAAGGGAACCTGGCAGCCTACTCACAGAAAGTTTCTTGGTGACGCCTTTTGCAGACTTCTGAATAGTCTGCTTGATCCGACAAGGGGGTCGGCTCTGGACGAAGAAAGTGTCAGAGGCAGCGAGGAAATCCATGAGCGCTCATCCATATTGAGCAAGCTCTTGAGACTACATACCGAGTTTTCACGAACGGGTGCCTCGCAGGTTTCTGGAGGAGCATCTGGTCTATTGTCTTCACTCATGACGAGTAGTCGATTACTGTAAGCGAAGTGAGGGTGTAAGAAGTAGGTGGGAGAAATGAGGAAACCTCTGGCATGAGCCGAATACCCTTAACCAAAGCAAAGCATGGCGAACACGTTGACTGGATGTGAACGTTGAGGCCTTGAGGCGCTAATCATGAAGCTTTGAAGGGGCAATGTCATATAGACAAACCTATCACAGAAACCAAGGCATCATGTTGATCAAAATGAACGGCATAACGATACTGCACAATTGATTTCACGAGCACAGTATTAGTAGTACTAACATTCTGAACATAGACCGAATGGCAAGAAGAATCTGTATGTTGGAATCTGATGCATCTGATGTCCCACGGTCATTTGTCTGAAGAAAATCACGAGTCATACACGTCACTCACTTCCTTGAAATTTTGAAACCTTGCCTGTATACCTTCACGCAGCGGTTATCGAGGCTCTTGATCACGATCAAGCGCATAGGCGCAGTATCAAGCTTGGCTGCCCAAATTTCAATATATCTCATTCTGGCAGCATTGACAGACTCACAAGCTATCCGATTCGGCGTACTACAATAGCAAAAGCATCCCTTCTGAGCCCGTGAGCGCTGTGGAAAAACGGAGAGAGCATGACGAGTTCAGGAAGCATGAAGATCGCAGAAGAGAAGAACAAGATGAAGACGCGGGTGGGAACCTAACACGTCAAGAGGGAGCAGAGTTCGCTGCGCGGGAAGCTCGCTGTAGCGTTGTTCCTTCTCCCATACTTGCGACGTCCGCAGGCGGCTCCCAGCGTTCATCTTTTGTGGATCCACACTTTTATGAAGACGTTGCTCCACTTCTTATGCCTATCGAGAGCCCAACAAGGTGAGCGTCCTCCAATCTTGAATTTATGCATTTATAGACTTGGCCATATAGGAACTGCGCTACCACTCCAACAAGCTTGAAGACGTGAGTATCTCATTGTCCCCTCAGCCCGTCTGATCCTGCACCAGTAACCACAACATCACCCGTTCCACCGGATGGACACATTCAATACCCGGAACTCATGTCGCAACACCAACTCAAGCAAGGCTACGCACCTTCTCTGCAATCAATGTTTAATTACCCCACTCTCAAGCCCACCAATCTCGTACGATCTTCCCTACTTTTCCTACCGCGATCTTCTTAATTGTCTACTATTCAACTTCCTGATACATCGTCTTGCCGAGTCAGCCGGCGTCATACCCATGCTCTCAGAATACGATGCGGTCGACTCCTGATGCCTACTTTGATTCTGCAGCCCCATTTCACGAGCTCCTCAGGCTGCGCCTCCACCCCCTCCCGCTCCCGTACGTCATATCGATGGTGACTGATACCCTACTGCTTCCACAGAGTCTGCACGGATCACTCGTAAAGCCAGCGATCCTGTCCAAGTACCCGACCTGAAGACTGTGAGCTTGCCACGAGAATGCCTTCCGCGGTTCCTGTCTATCGCATCGCTGAATACGCCACGAAATTCCGAAACTTGCGGACTATTGCTCGGAAAATAAATTTACTGTCACGACACTCTTGATTCCAAAGCAGCATTTGACAAGCGAAGCCTGCGCTATGGACGAGGAAGACTCGTCCTTCACGGAAGAACGATCTTTGATTACCTTGGGATGGGTATGTTTCCTCCGGTTGTCCTGTGTATCTCCATCTAACCATCTTCGTTAGATTCATACGCATCCTTCAGTCTTGTGGGTCCTTAAATTTAGCACAAAACCTCTTGCTTACTGGCCCTTTACGAAGGCTTTATGTCGTCGGTTGATCTACATACGCATTCTGGATTTCAGCGCATGCTTCTGAAGTCCTTTGTCGTTGTTTGCGTCCCAAAGTTCACTCCAAAGTGCGTACCACATTGCTCATACCACTCGTGTCTTGATTTTTTTCACGGTTAGCTTTGGAATTTTCCGCCTCACCGACCCCCCAGGCTTGCAAACAATCTTGGACTGCAATGTTAAGGAAGCCTTTCACCCGCACCCATAGGTGCCGGTCTACACAGTGCGTAGCTTCTCGAGTGGTTCGTCCACATCTATTGATTTGTTGTTTAGGACACAGACAAGGGTCACGTGCAAATGAAAGACGTCCCGCTGGAGATCGTGGATCTGCGATGATGCAGGGCTCGATGTTTTCCTAACTCATTCAAAGAGTAATTTGGCATGTCGTGAATGTCACTGGCTGCACAACGATTGCCGTCAATTGTAATGGTTGTAAGTGCTTATATCAACACCTAGTTCATGACGTGAATGGAATTTGCTTACAGAATTATTACAGGATTATCACAAGATTTTTTCTACTTACCTTCACTGCAATTGTAGTTCTGTTTGTGAAGAAGTCAGCGACTGAGCACTCATTTTGGCGCCGCCATTCACGGCTGAGCGTTCACTTAGATCCAACCAAGAACTTCTCTATGGTAAATCAATTTGAACCATACGTTGAGCAGAAGTCAGAATTTTTTTCAGGCATTAGAAATAGAAATACAGGGTGACTATGGGTATGCATACAAACTCGATGCCTGCTTACTGGTCAAAATGGGAGTCTCTCTTTGGATCGGCTCGTTTCTTGACGACTACTTTCTTGAACTTTCTCTCCGTGCGAACGACGACGATGGGCACGGGGGAATTCGAGAAACGGTCCTTTGACAAGCTGCCCAAACCTGGCGCGCCGAACGCCACATCCCAGGCTTGCATCGTGCCGCGCTGGTCTCTCACGATCACTACCCGGGTTGAGTCTGGGGCGGGTCAGCCTCAACTTAACTTCATTTTTTTTGATAGATTTTCTAATAGATTTCTTGTCCAGACTCGTTCATCGACTACCAGCATCTGTGGCTCGCCTCTCGTGCCCAACCGAGTATCTTTGGTAGGTAATCCCGTGAGTCACGCACATTTCCTACTTCCAAGTCCCTTCAAGAGTTGGAGCAGAGATAAAATCCTCACGATGAGAGCTATTGAACCTAGCGACAATGTATGTTTGTTCTGGTGGCCACCTGACAAGGATATTAACAGCGCTAGTGAATGTTTGATATCACTAGCTCTGAGCGCCAACGATCACCAATCATGCCGAAATGAGCGTCTCGCCCACCAGACAGTTAAACTTCAGGTTCTATTCTGTGGGATCGGAGCCTGCACTGGCTTGTGAACTTCTCACAATGAATACTGACAGAGGACCACGCGCTTATCCTGATACTCCGGGAAGACAACACAGACGGTTCTGCCTTCAATACACTTGTTCTCTTGGACCTCATCTCACTTCTCCCAGAACCATCAGCCGCATATGCAGCAAGCTTTGGCGCCAGATAGGAGCATGCTTTTGTGTCAAAATTGACACTGACGCAGTGACTACGCAAGTCCTCGGAGTCATATACTTCCGGTCGCCATTTCTCCCTCGCATCCTCCAGTCGTTGATCTAGTATTTCAGCACGCTATTGATATTGACTATTTTTCTTCAAAGGTCAGACACGCTAAGGCAGATTCTCGATGTGAATGGTAGTGCTGACACGAGGTGCTCTGTAGAATGATGCCGCTAAAGACTTGAACCGCTGCACGTCCTGCCACTGTACAGTCAACAAGAGACGTTTGAATGCGGAATGACTCTGGTTGCACACACGCACGATATCTCTCATTCAGCAACTGAAGTGTAAGTGAAGCTTTACAGATGGTGGATGAGAGGTTCATGATTGGTTACGGAGGAAAAACTCTACAAATAATCTAAAGGATGTACTGATCAATCAATGACCTATCGATAGAATACTGCTTTAAGTCGATAAAGATATCATAACAAGATCGACGATATGTCTAAGTATTCGAGAGATATTCAAAAACCCGCTAGCAGCAAACACAGGACTTTCTGCCTCCATGTTCGCCAGGGTCTGTATGTACTGCTACTGCTTGCTGGTGCGGCTGCTGTTGCTGTTGCGTATCAGGGTCCGGTTCGATAGTATCGAAATATTCATCAGGTACTATGTCCGGGTCTGGGCCAGGAGCATTCGCAGCAATATTACGCTGTAGATCTTCGCATCAGACAACCAGGATACTCTGATAAGAATCGACCTGAATCCACCTCTTTAGCCTTGCCGAATGAACATCGACAGCGGGCGGCGTTGCATGATGGGGTGACCGGGAGAATAGGTGTCGTAAATGAGTTTTGATGGTGGTGGTGACAGCGACTGGTGGTGAGGTGGTGGGTGGTGCAGGTGCAGGTGCAGGTGCAGGAGCTGCCTCGAGGCCTCCTCGTCATAGCGAGCCTAAGTCTGTTGAGGCGCCCAGGGCGCTGTTGAAGTCTTGGCCTGGAAATCTGAGAATGCTGTGACTGAATTAAGAGCGATAGAACAGAAGGATACGCTCTTGCACGCACTTCATGCATTCCATAGAAGAAATTGGGATCTGCATCATATCCATCGTGATCTTGACCGGGGATCTCTGCCTGCATGATAGTCAGTATCGAAAGAGGTAAGGATAGAGGTACATACGCCAAGAATACGGTCGTTGTCCGCAGCGAGCGTGCTGCATTTCTCCTTGAACTCTGAGTGACAGTGCGGGTGAGCATGATAGTCGTGGGTGACACGACGGAAGACTTGCCGTTGGACCAATCGAGACAGCTGGCCTTCGCAATGTCGTCGATGGCGTCCATCATGGATTTGTGTGCTGCGAGGGCTTCGTCGAGTTTACCTGCCGAAAGGAATGCCTGGCACCGTTTCTGGTGTGTAGTGAGCAACAAGGACTCGAGATCCCAGCCGAAGAGCTGGACAAAGCAGTAGGTTATAACGAGCATTATGTATGCATCATGTCGACGCACCACGGTCAAGTCCTGGTATAGGAAATGAATGTATTTCGACGAGAAAGCGTCTGAGTTAACAGCCGCAGTGAAGTGATCAGCGGCTTCGTCGTGATGCGCGCTATCGAAAGCTTTGATTCCGAGCTGAACACGTAGATATGTCTATTGTGTGAGTTGAAAAGATCAGGATTGACGATCGAGTGTAGCCACATGGTACTCACTTCCACGACATGACGCGCGAGAGGATCGACATCGGGACAAGCGACAGCCAAGTCTTTGATGAGCAGCATTGCTTCCTCGTGTTGATCTGCGCTGAAGAGTACGATAGCCTGGAATACAATATGAGGCAGAGAGCATGCGAGACGAATTGAATGTACCTTGATCAAGAGAAGAAATTGGTTGGTTTTTGAATTTTGGTTGGTGAACATGGATGCAACGTCGAATGCTATCCTTGCTTCCCGGATGTGACCTTTTCCGCAGAGGGCGATGCCTTTGGAGATGAAGCCTACCAATGATGGCCGAATGTTGATGGACTACGTTACGGACACAAGTTAGCCTTTCGTGAAAGAGCCATGATAGGTCAGTCCATCTCACGTCGATTGCATCATCAAGAGCATGGTCCCAGTCGTGTTTCCGGGCCATGACGAACGAACGATGGGCATATGAAATAACGTCGTCGGCGTTGGTGTGAATCTCTTCAGTGAGGAGCTCTTCGGCGATAGACAAGTCCCCAGTTAGACATGCATTGCGGGCTGTTGTAATGTCAAGGATCTGTATGAAGGATGCTTGAATTGCATAATGAGAGTCAGAAATGGAAACTCGCCTGTGAAATTTGATGAACGTTCTTCAGTATTGCCCACTCTGAGATCTTGCTATCAGAACCTCCGCTGAGGATGTGCTTGCCGTCCGCAGAGAACGTGACACATGTCGCGGGAGATGAATGCTGGAAGACGGCGATGGTTCGTTGATCTGAGAGCCGCCAGAGACGGACATGCTTGTCTTGAGATGCAGACGCGACGAGCGTGCCAGTGGGATGAATGGCAATGGCGTTGATATAGTCAGTGTGGCCTTCCCAGGTATGACCGACCTGCTGCCAGGTTGATGTGTCCCACTCCAATATGGAATTTCTGCCTCCTGAAAGAAGGCGTGTACCATCGGGCGTCCACGCGAGTGACAGGCTCCAACCTGTCAAAGATGCGACTTGTTCCCTTGTGCCTGGATTATAAATTTGGATATTGTAGTATGTTGCGATGGCAAGAAGTTCACCAGAAGGCGAATATCGAACGCAGTAGACCATAGTGCCACACTCGATTGGATCTCCTTGCATCTGCCACGTTTTGGTACTCCAAAACTTGACCGTGCCGTCATATGAACCAGTCGCCAGCACCATTCCATCCGCAGAAAAATCCACCGAGCGGATGGCTTTGGAGTGGGCTTTGCTGGGTTGGGTGATGGATTCGCCAGTTTCTCCGTGCCAGGCGATGACTTCTCCATCATCATCACCACTTGCTATTATTTGACCATTTCGTGACACCGCCAATGCCCGCACCCAATCGCTATGCCCTTCCATCTTCTTCAACACAACACCTGTCTCCAAGTCCCAAAGACGAAGTGTCTTGTCGTGCGAACCCGTAATCATTCGTCGTTTATCCGGGAACACTGCGACTGCATTTATGACCGCCTCGTGATCTTCAAAAGTTCGAACGGGTGTGGTGCTTGGAATGAGCTGTGACATTTTACTGGAGGTTGATGATATTGAGCACGGCCGAGGGATTGTGGGTGTCTTTCTCTAAGTTACAGAAGTGCGTGTATTGTGCGTTTTTATGTTGCTTCACCACGCTAACCATCCTCGTTTCCATAGACGCCCAAGACACGAGGCAATTCGCCATCACCGCCTGCCCCCAACCAGTCATAACCGACCGCACTGGCTACATGCGTCCGGTATTTGTCTTCAAAGTTTCAAGCCCTACCGAGACATCAAGTGAATATCACAACTCTCAACAAACTTTCAAGCTCGAGTCTTGTGTCTCATGACCGCTCACCTTATGGCTCGCTGTAGACTAGATAAAGTATCTGCATGTCTTGATGCGTCTTGATTGTTGATCCCCTCAGGAAGGGGACATTTCCAGTACTGTGCACCAAGAAGATTAAGCTTGCTTTCGCCTCCAGTGAATTCGAGCTGGAGAACGACCATCATGCGCATCATGAACAAATAAATGCAGCGAATGATTTGTGAAGCGCAAAGTAGTCTCGATTCTACCATTCCGATCAGCATCAGTGGTCGTCTGCGCCTGGCCGCCCCCATCTAACGAGCTGAGTCGCCCCGTCATTCCACGACTGCACTCTACGGTTAGCTAGTGTGGACATCGTGGAATCACGAGTGCCAACGAAGCCAGCTCCATTTGACTGAATGATAGCATCGATGAACACTGGATGCCTGGTGTTAGAATGAAAACATGACATCTAATCGGCTCACCATTTTCTATAGATCTCCTGTCCGTTCCGCTGCATAATCTACCCCAACGCTCCAACATCTGACCACCATTCCGGGTCCCTTTCGTCGCTCGTCATGATAAGATGTGTAGCATCAATTCCTTTTCGTGTGCGAAGCTCTTCTTGTGCCTCAGACACCCTGCGGGGCGAAGCACTCATCCACAGGAAACTCCTTGCATTGGTGGCTGAAGTCGCCGTGCCGTATGTGAACCGATATATACTATCAAAAGTTAGATCTGTAGAGTAACCTATGCCCGAAACTTTCACTCACGGGAGGCGTTGGTTCACTCATGGCACGTCGGGAGTGCGCATCAACAATCTTTTCCATGCTTACAGTCCATCGCATGTTAGCCTACAAATCTCCATGCAGGAGAATAGTCTGATTCCCATTCCCATGTGTGATGAGCGCCTACGTAGTAAAAGAAATCGAAGCATAGTACGTGATCGTCCAGAGGAAGGGAAACCTGGTGCTGAGGAGAAGGACGATTTGTTAATGAGAATTCCAGGCTTTTCGAGCGAGTTTCTGGAAACCCAAGTGATGCGAGAGACCAAAAGGATGCATGACTGTGGTGTACGCTAAGGAATGTCCGCTCGACCCAAGCTGGAGCTCGCGTCCACGAAATGTCTGTGATATCCATGGATTTAATCATTGAAGAGGGATGCTCAAAGTTGTCTCACCGAGCTTGAGCAGGTTCAGGGAGGGACTTCGTCGTGGTTCAAAAATATCGATGTGCTGTTGAACGGTTTCCCAGACAGTCCAACAACCAAGATCACCAAGGACCTGACTTTCTGGATCGTTGACTTCGTGCCATTGAAGCAAGTGGATCCCTATGGCTTGACTGAGTCGAGGTACGTCAAATTCCCGAAAACAAATGGAGGTGCCCTTGGGTCGATATGGTTAGAGAGGAACTTTGGGATTATGGGTATACGTTCTGTTATGAGAGCGAGGTATATCAAATTGCCCTAGTTCTTGTGAGGAACCGGGATGACATCGGAAGTGGTTCGTTGACTTACTCTTGTATCATGCTGCGCTGGCCTCTCGTGCCCATTACGATTGAGTCTGGAAGGTACTGGGAAATCAAATGCTCGAGAGTTTTAGTGACTTTGCCTGATGAAAATGAATAGCTATGATACACACAATGAGATCATATCGACATGACGACGACGACATACCTCGTGTTCGATATCGTTCTCAATACACTTGTCTTTATCCTGGTGCATACCGTCATGGGCGTCTTCTCGGACGGGTCCATGATCAGTTTTCTGGGTCGTGTTGGAATATCTGTGGAGTCCTTCACGGGAGATAATAGTCACTCACCCAAATCGTCTAGAATATCGAGAACTAGAGGAAGTATCGTAGAATCAATAGAGATCACTAAGAACATAAGATGAGTATGATTTTGCAGGCCAAGTAAGTCAAGCGATATGGGAACTTAGCAATGCTTTAGCTCGTCCCTGGCCTGCGCCACTTTCCAGCGCCCAGTAATGGGCACGACATGTACTCTCATCTCGACCAAACGCATAAAGAAGTATCTTTTTCACTCTGTGTCTAGCACAGTATCCACCTGATTCAAACGTGCGGATCAAATAAACATAAGGGTGCAGCAAAATCCGAGTGTTCGAATGCGCCTAACGTTCATTTGGATGGGTGACCTGTTCCGCCAGGAACACGAGAGCAAAGCAAGAGATAGGAAGGTGAGTGATACAGAAGGAGGAGGAGACAACACTAGAGATGAGCGCATGGAAGATCGTATTAATGTGAGTGTGGAGGAGTACCTGCAGGGACTGCTCCGAGTCAATTGGGTACCATGATGATTAATATTATGAGAGTCCTGCTAACGTGCAACCAATTTAAAGACGAGACAAAACAATCCGATCGACAGGCTGTTCGAATTCCAATGAGGGATCGAGATCGAAGACCAGAAGCTTCGAAGCGTGAGGAAAAGCGAAGGGGGCAGACCACGATGACAAATGGTGGGGAAAGCGGGGACAGGTCCGTCGAGCGAAATAAACGCGAGGGGTGTGCACATTATAATGGCAGAGCTTATCAACCACAGTTTGAGCTGATGAAAGAAGTAAAAAAAAACTAATGGATGCCGCCAAACATGCAATGAGCAACCCAGCAACCTGAAGAACCTTCTTGTCCTGCCCAACAGTTCTAGAATTGGGCGGAAGACTGGTACCAAGATCACAAACCGAGTGAGTTCGTCTCTGTCACTGACACTAAGGCTGACATGATCAGCAGGGGTATAACTGTTGAGCCGCAAATGTAATTCTCTAAAAGTACAACTCACCTTCAATTTCCATAGGAAGGATGTATTAATATTATAACAATCAAAAAAAAACATTACTACTTTTACTTGTCGTCCTCCTCAACCTCTACTTCGTTTTGCTTCCGTTTTGGGTACTCGAAGCATCCACAAATTGTTGATGCGGTTGTGAGTTGCCGGCCCGACAAGAAGACGCGTTCAACTGCTGAGCGTAGTGTTGCCGCAAGTCGACGCGGTGTGATGCGGTGCTAGCGAACTCGAACAAGTAAACGATTCGAGTTGTATCGAGTTACACACCAGTGCAACTAGCGAGTTCGGATGTTGTTCGGGAATTAAGTCCACCAATCAACGGGCTCAGATCTATCTCTTTCTGGTTTAGCAAGTCAAATTTATTGGCGCATAAATAGTTATATTTGGTAGAAACAGAATTATATATTTCTACAGTCATGACTCATCATGGCTACAATATCGTGAACGCTTGATGAGAAGGCTCGCTCGCACGGCACGGAGGAAGCCTGTATGGGTAAGATGTCGAGGGCGACTTTGTATGAGAGTGGATATACTCGTTCCGCATCCTAATCACGATTAGCGCCATGTGTGAAAACAATGAGTGCGAGACTTATGGGCATGTGCATGGTAGTACAAAACTCATGTGTAAAAAAGTAGAAATTTTTTGATTTTTTATGGACCGACGAAGTAAGTAGGGCAGACATATTGACAAGGTATAACGGCGAGGTGTAAAGCACTGGAGAAGTGCTCAAGATTGCATGAAATACTCGAGCTACAGTCGGCAAGATTATAGAGACTTACAGTAACATTGATAAGATACCAGGGAAGCTTATGGGAAAGTCTTCTCGATATGTCAATCACCAACTCGCAGTGCAACTCGATGTTTACACCGCATGGGGCAGTTGCCACGAGTTGCGTAAATTTCCGAGTCGAGTCGATGTTAACTCGATTCCAACTCACACCGGCGGCAACACTAGCTGAGCGGGGGTGTCCGTGGATAGAAACGGCAGTTGTTTGCCACCAGGCCTCAAAGCACTCCCACGCTGTGCATTTCGGAGCAGACATACATCCAAGTCCGCGTCAGATATGATCTCATTGTTTACTCTGCTCTGCAACTGACTCCTTTGACACTTACTATCAGTTACTTTCTATTCCAAACCTCTCCCGACGCTACCAACTCCTTTCTTTTTCCCACAACACTCTTGCTATCGGCGCACCATGTAGCAAATCGCTGACCATGAACAGGCCAACAAGCACTATCGCAATAAGGAACCGAGTGTGCAGCACCGTGGAGTTCCGAGCCTAGGAGAAGAATAGAGTTTTTCAGGCGGTATAGTGGCATGGTATGTTAATTCTCGCTATCGTAGATTCATCCTACACCGCCCATCACTCTGGTTTTCTAAGAACCGAGACCCACTCTCATCTTCCATTCACTGCCTTCCTTACTTTCATTCTTGTCGTGATTTGGTGCCTGCCATCGCATGCCCAGTACCTACCGCGACCTCACAACAACAAACACGATCCACCAACACCTACTACCAGCTATCACGCCTGCCCGGCCCTGCCGTTCACGCCCCGTACGATTACCCTCTCAATATAATATATTTGCCTCTTCATCGCCTTACACCCTCCAACAGTGGACCTCGGCACCAATTTCCGATCTTCAGCATATATGAATGTGTGCAATAGAGTCTCGGTCGAGATCAACCGCTCCCCACAATCACATATCCATTCTCAGCGCTCCGGCAGCTTTGTACCTTCCCATTGCATTCCATGCTCGACCCACTGCCTCCTGCAGCTTCCTACACCTTCCACTGCCTCCCGCGACTTTTTCATGACCTAGTACACGGAGTCCAGATTTTTGAACTAACATATTTAAGGGCCATAATGGTAGGACTACAAATGTATTACTACAGAGATAGCCATACCATGGCAAAAAAATGCCATGTAAATCATGCAGATTGACGATATGTACACTATCGCCGCACAAGGAAAACCGTATCCTTCTCCTTCGATGGACCCATCGAGGCGCTTTACGATTATATGGAGACCGGACAGCCATCTTGTTAGTTCCGCCTCTTCTATGGGTGCTCCTTGCAATATAAGTTACGGGGATACAGAGTGAACCCAACAGCAACCTGACAGTGCTACAAACACCAGTTAGGAGTCGCATGGAAACAGTCAGTGACGTACGGCGGATAGAGAATATACGAACAATGTATGGTGGTGTCTTAATACATTGTCGTATGAACGCTTGAAGTACCATCGAAGGATCGCTCTGCATGTGTTGAACTAATTCGTCCTAGTCTGAATCAGTTGCCTTCTACAACCATGCAGACGGGGATAGAATATCAAAATACTAGGGCTGTGACGGTGCTGATCAGTGATACGGGATATTAAAGGGCGAACATACCAGGTCAGGCATATCAGATAACTGGTCCCACGTCGGTCCTATACTTCGCTTCCGAGTTGGACAAGATTCTCAAATGTGGAGCAACGTGAAGAATCGGCCTAGTAATGAGTCGCACATCCTGTACTGCAGAAAAAAAATGAGAGTTGATATAGTGTTAGGCAGCACATAGGATTTCCCCTTGATATCACTCTGAACAAAGTTAAATACACCTGGGCCAAGCAAAAACAGAGCGACATACCATTAACGGTGATTGGAACGTTTATGCGAACCTAGAGCTTTCAATCCGCATGAACCCTGCTGTTATACAAAAGACCTGCGCAAACAAGCACCGATGACGTAGTCGGTCGTTTCGTACGGAAGTTGGTATGAATAATGCAGGCGAGATTTTGTATACAAGTCTTTTGTGTATCATAGATGCTGAGTCAAAGTGCAAGTGCGAGGAAAGAGAACTGAATTAGAAAAGCAAAAAAATGCACGTTGAGATGCTCACAATCACTAGAGAGTAGCGAGATTTTCACCTCAACGACATCACATGAGGTTTGGATGAATCGAACCATCAAATAGTGTGACCAGTGTTCCATAGTCGTCAAGTGTAAGGTGTCGATGATGTACTCGACAAGGGTGCAATTCAAGGCAACATCGATTTCGCCTGTACATGTAGTATGTATATACATTGGCAACGGCTCATGCTGTCAAGATCCTCATTAGCAGCGATAAAACTGGCGGAAACGTTGCAAACCTTTCAACCAGAAGGCGCATTCTCTGGAATAGTAAGTTGAGCCTTTTGTATCGGGAAGATCTGCGATGAAGGAAAGCTATGTCGAAGGAATGAGCATGGAGATCGCATGATAGATTTTGGACATTTAGTGCAACTTGAAAGCTTGATATTCCAGGAGAGGCATCAACGTTAACTGACATAATTACAGAATCTCATGATGAACGGACCTGAACGACACCTGATCACTCTGTGGGAATAATAATGAAGGGTCGACCCGAATCGTCACTTGTCACAGTAGAGTCCCAATATTGCCGAATGTCTTCTATCAGTTTTGCCCAGGACAAACGTTATCGACAGATTGCTTGCGCTTGTACAAAAGATAAGTACTAAGTCCTTGAATCTCGATTGGGAGCTACCGACAAGCATCTGAGTACTGTTCAGGATAGAAGACTACTTAACCACGGTTGATCATTGTAAGTACCGTGAGTCCGTGACGTCCCCCGGGCACGACTTGTCTCGCAAACTTTGCATGTGGACGTCTTGTTTCGAGGGATGAGAGGTAAGTATCTCTATCTCACTCCAACCGGAGTGCTTAAGGTGTATTGCGTTCCCTAGGAAAATCTGGATATCTCGGCTCTCGAGTCTTCCCCTTGGCATGAGTCATAAAATGTCCGATCCCCACTTTAAGGCCCAAGAACAGACACATAGCCAGTAGTAGGCGACCCTATCGTCTTTGTTCGCTTATTCCACCCTAGCAATTATCGCTGCAATATCTTTGGGATCCCGGCTAATGCTAGATTTCATCTTCTTGACCAGCATGAAACACTTCAAAAACCACCGCAGTTTTTTCTCTCTCTGGGAGGTGCCGTGAAGCGGCATTCTCCACCTTCACGTCGTGCGCGTGACAAAGTGATACTCATTGGTTTACCTCATTTGCCACCGCGAGATGCTGATTCTGTGACATTAGGCACGCCATGATATGAGAATCTACGACCTTGTTCCCAAGCTTCTATTAGCGACCGCTGTAGAAGGCATACATTTTACCCTGTATAGAAGATTCATTCAGTCAGTTTGACACTTCAGGGAAGATAAGAGGATGGTGTTAAATACGTGTACTTTGCACTTTTGTGCCTGGAGTCTACGACCTATCGCAACTGATGGACTTTGGAAGACGATTGGTCAAAGCGCTCGAGGTTCCCCATACTCGAGAAGAGCGTGCTCCTTCCGACCTGCAATCTGTTTCGGTGAGTCTCAAGTTCTGATGACTAGGTTTCGCAGTTTAGGCTTACTGCATGGTCCCTCAGAGCGACGATCTACTGCCAGTTCCAATAGAGGAAAGAACATGGACTGCATTCAGTTATGTCGCTTTGTGAGGGCTGCAATGTGTTAGATTGACTGCACGACTAACACACTTATCGGCCAGCTGGGCGAGCACATCAGTGAGTAGTAAATCATCACAATAACACAGAACGCTTATGAAGCTCTACTCGCAGATCAATGTTGGAACGTTAGTTGCAAATCTTCAGCTTGTAGTATGACCTCATACAGGTTCTCCGATAGTTGGATGATAACTTCTAGCATGATCGTCATGGGCATGTCGTGGTGGCAAGCCTGGCTGACTATCTGGATTGGTTATGGTGTGATGACGCCGTTTATTGTCCTGTTGGGCCGACCGGGTGCTGTATTTCATGTTACCTTCCCTGTCGTCAACCGTGCCGGCTTCGGAATATTTGGAGGTTTGTGTATATTCAATAGAGCGACGATGGCATGGTAGGTACGATGTCTTTTGCGCCGTGCTGTACTCACTTCATTGCAGTATCTGGTACGGAGTGCAATCAATTATTGGCGGTTCATGCGTCTTAATGATGCTCCGTGCAATTTGGCCAAGTGTTAATCATATCCGTGAGTTTAATGATGAGTTGGTCCTTCGTGATCTGATATATCTTATGCGACGAAGCAAATTCCATGCCCTTGTCCTCTGGCACTAATACCAGGGATTTCATGTGCTTCCTCATTTTTTGGGTTATATCTTTGCCCTTCATATGGCCTCCCGTGCACACAATGTACGTTCAGAGAAGTTCATTCGGACGAATTATTGATGAGCTTGCAACAGTCGTCACTTCTTCACGTTCAAGACGATCGTCGCGCCCATTGCCTGTCTCATCTTTATGATTTGGTGCATCGTCAAGGCAAAAGGTGTTGGACCGATTGTCAAACAGCCGGCAACTATCCATGGCTCCGAACTGGCATGGGCCATGATCAGTAGTGTTGGTATATATATCAGTCACCTCATAACATTGACGACGTATGCCTGCTATGCTTTCATGTATTATCTCCATAATCTTACCATATTTGCAGAAACGCGCCAGATTTTGGGTCACGGACGAAGACTCCATCTGCACCAGTCATTTCCCAGCTCTGGTCCATCCCCTTCTCTTATGGTTTAGTCTGTCTCTTTGGTGTGATCGTCAGCTCATCGTCACAAACAATCTATGGGCAAGTAATTTGGTCACCCGTGGATTTGCTAGGAGTGTTCTTGGACGATGACCCATCCCCTGCCACTCGATTTGGTGTGAGTATGAACAATGCAAGGTTGTTTTGCGCTGACGAGAAGGTCATTATAGGTCTGGTTCATCGCCTTCTCTTTCATCATAGCTCAGGTAGGCATCATATTGACTTCCTTGAAGATCTAATCTTGATTGATCTCAGATAGGGTATGTAGTGGATGCACGAGTCGCTGTTATAGCTCATGCTTTGTACTACCCTGCCCATTTACAGAACGAACATCTGCGCTAACTCGGTCAGTGCGGGTTGTGATCTGACGGCGCTATTTCCACGTTTCGTCGTAAATCGTTTACTTCATGCATTGATTTCAGGAAGTATCTATTTTTCATCACAGAACATCAGACGCGGCGGGTATATATCAGCCATTGTCGGACTTTTCATGTGTCCCTGGAACCTAGTATCAAGCAGCAGCCGTTTTTCCTCCTATGTGTCTGCGTACTCAGTCTTCCTTAGCGCGATCGCGGGAGTTATGGTGTGTGCACCTGGATCTGGATTGTATTCTATTTTAGACTGAATATGCCTCTAGGCCACTGAATACTGGTCTGTGCGCAAGGGCCATCATAACGTCGCTGACTCGAACGTCACCCGCAAAGGAAGTTGGTATTGGTACAATTATGGTTTCAACCCCAGGTCTGTGGAAGACTAGAAACGTTGGCTCTCCATCGCTCACTTGAGTTTAAAGAGCGTACGCAGCATACGTGGCAGGCATTGCTATCAATGTGGTGGGGTTCGCTGGGGATAGTACGTCCCTTTAGTTTGTATCTTGCTTGCGGTACTCATAGTTCCATAGCTGGAACACCCGTACCAGCTGCTGCGACTCACATATTCGACTTGTATATATTATAACTCATCATGGTCGTCCATGTCTGATTAAAAAAACGTCTAGAGTCTCCAAGTTCGTGACATCGTCTGACGGTTGCAAAATCTTTGCTGAAGGCGTCGGCAACCTCGAGGGTCCAACTATCGTTTTGGTTCACGGCTTAGGATTATCCACAGTCGTATTCAACAACCTTTTCAAAGACGATCAGCTACTTGCCAAAGTTTATCTGGTAGGTGAACCATACTGTTTTTCGAGCCATATTTTTAAATCTTGCAGGTGAGATATGACATGAGAAGTCATGGCAGAAGCGGCAGACCCGTGAACCAGAGTGACTATTCCTCCCAGAATTTCGCAGCAGATTTCATGGCTGTTGTTGAGGGATTTAACCGTCAGAAACCTTATTTACTCGGCTGGTGAGTGGACAAATGGCATTCTGTCAGCGATTCTGATGATGATTTCCAGGAGTCTAGGGGGTCAGTTAGTTGTGTAGGGGAATATTCTTACTTCTAACAACATTCGTTTAGGAACTGTTGCGACAGATATCTGCACCCACTGTCCCGCAGGCTATGTGTCGGGCATCATCTACGTGTCCGCGCTTCCTTACATCGGAGCGATCATGATGGACTTGGCAAAAGACTTCCTTAAAAACCTTCGTCCAAGACTCGTTGCACAGGATGTGGCTGATGCGCTTCAAGCAAAAATTGACTTTGTCAATTCCTCAATCAATTATTGTAACGCTTCGAACTGGGACGACCGCTTACTTTGGGTTGGAGCATTCAGTCACCTGAATGCCAACGATATATTGAACGCTATGTCGCGGCAGCAAGATCCAGAACCGCTTTTGGCTGCGGGGAGGGAGGGATTGAGATTGCTTCATCTATACGGAGATGCTGATCAACAACTGGACAACGCGGTCGCCGAGGCACAAGTAAGCCAGCATTTCATTAGCAGGAAAGTTGTTGTCATCAAGGGTGGAAGTCACGCGTTATTTTATGAATTCCAAGACCAGGTTGTCGAGGAAGTTCTTGCGTTTGTTACCGAGTAGGTTGCATGCCACCGCTGCGAGTTATGGACCGTCAAAACTCCGTGCTGTATTACTTGACAATAGAATGATGCCGCTAAAGACTTGAACCGCTGTACGTCCTGCTACTGTACAGTTTGTACAGTCAACAAGAGATGTTTGAATGCAGAATGGATCTGGTTGGACACGCGCACGATATCTCACATTCAGCGACTGCGCAAGTCAAGCTTTACAGATGGAGGATGGGAGGTTCATATTGGTTGCGGAGGAGAATCTCTCTAAATAATCTCAAGGATGTACTGATCAATCAATCACCTATCAATAAAATACTGCTTCAAGTCGATAAAGATACCATAACAAGATCGACGATATGACTGAAGTATTCGAGAGACACTCAAAAACCTACTAGCAGCAGACACAGGACTTTCCGCCTCCATGTTCGCCAGGGTCTGTATGTACTGCTACTGCTTGTTGGTGTGGTTGCTGCTGCTGCTGCGTGTCAGTGTCCGGTTCGGCAGTATCGAAATATTCATCAGGTACGATGTCCGGGTCTGGGCCAGGAGCACCCGCAGCAATATGACGCTGTAGATCTACGCATCAGAAAACCAGGATACGCTGATAAGAATCGACCTGGTCCACCTCTTTAGCCTTCGTGAATGGAACATCGACAACGGGCGGCGTTGCATGATGGGGTGACCGGGAGAATAGGTGTCGTAAATCAGTTTTGATGGTGGTGGTGACAGCGACTGGTGGTGAGGTGGTGGGTGGTGCAGGAGCAGGAGCTTCCTGAGGCCTCCTCGTCATAGCAAGTCTGAATCTTTTGAGGCGCCCAGGGCGTTGTTGAAGTCTTGGCCTGGAAATCTGAGAATGCTGTGATGAAGTATGAGGGAGAGAACAGAAGGATACGCCCTTGCACGCACTTGATGCGTTCCATAGAAGAAACTGGGATCTGCATCGTAGCCATCTTGCTCTTGCCCGGGGATCTCTGCCTGCATCGCAGCGAGCGTGCTGCATTTATCCTTGAACTCTGAGTGACGTGCGGATGAGCATGATAGTCGTGGGTGACATGATGGAAGACTTGCCGTTGGACCAATCAAGACAGCTGGCCTTCGCGATGTCGTTGATGGCGTCCATCATGGATTTGTGTGCTTCCAGGGCTTCGTCGAGTTTACCTGCCGAAAGAAATGCCTGGCACCGTTTCTGGTGTGTAGTGAGCAACAAGGACTGGAGATCCCAGCCGAAGAGCTGGACAAAGCGCTAGGTTATGACAAGCATTATGTACACATCATGTCGACGCACCACGGTCAAGTCCTCGTACATTTGAGGCATGAATTTTGATGAGAAAGCGCCTGAGTTGACAGCGGTGGTGAAGTAATCAGCGGCTTCGTCGTAACGCGCGCCATCGAAAGCTTTGATTCTGAGCTGAACACGTAGATATGTCTATTGTGCGAGTTGAAAAGATCAGGATTGATGATCGAGTGTGGCCACATGATACTCACCTCCACGACACGACACGCGAGAGGATCGACATTGGGACAAGCGGCAGCTAGGTCTTTGATGAGCAGCATTGCTTCCTCGTGTTGATCTGCGCTGAAGAGTACGATAGCCTGGAATACAAGATGAGGCAGAGAGCATGGGAGACGAATTGAATTTACCTTGATCAATAGAAGAAATTGGTTTGTTTCCGAATTTTGGTTGGTGAACATGGATGCGACGTCGAATGCTATCCTTGCTTCCCGGACGTGACCTTTTCCGCAGAGGGCGATGCCTTTAGAGATAAAGCCTACCAATGATGGCCGAATGTTGATGGACTACGTTACGGATTAAAGTTAGCCTTTCGTAAAAGGGCCATGATAGGTCAGCCCATCTCACCTGGATTGCATCATCAAGAGCATGGTCCCACTCGTGCTTCCGGGCCATGACGAATGAACGATTAGCATATGAAATAACGTCGTCGGCGTTGATGTGGATCTCTTGAGTGAGGAGTTCTTCAGCGAAAGACAAGTCCCCAGTTAGACATGCATCGCGGGCTGTTGTGATGTCCAGGATCTGTACGAAGGATGCTCGAATTGCGTTATGAGAGTCAGAAATGGAAACTTGCCTTTGAATGAGCATCCTTCGGTATTGCCCACTCTGAGATCTTTTTATCAGGACCTCCGCTGATGATGTGCTTGCCGTCCACAGAGAACGTGACACATGTCGTGGCGGATGAATGCCGGGATACGGCGATGGTTCGTTGATCTGAGAGCCGCCAGAGACGGATATCCTTGTCTTCAGATGCAGAAGCGACGAGCGTGTCAGTGGGATGAATGGCAATGGCGTTGATACGACCAGTGTGGCCTTCGTAGGCATGACCGACCTGCTGCCAGGTTGATGTGTCCCACTCCAATATGGAATTTCTGCCTCCTGAAAGAATGCGTGTACCATCGGGCGTCCACGCGAGTGACAGGCTCTGACCTGTCAAAGATGCGACTTGTTCCCTTGTGCCTGGATTATAAATTTGGATATTCTCGTCTGTTGCGATGGCAAGAAGTTCACCAGAAGGCGAATATCGAACGCAGAAGACCAAACTGCCACACTCGATTGGATCTCCTTGCATCTGCCACGTTTTGGTACTCCAAAACTTAACTGTGTAGTCCCATGAACCAGTGGCCAGCACCATTCCATTCGGAGAAAAATCCACCGAGGTGATATTTCCGGAGTGGGCTTCAATGGGTTGGGTGATGGATTCGCCAGTTTCTCCGTCCCAGGCGATGACTTCTCCACCATAATCACCACTTGCTATTATTTGACCATTTCGTGACACCGCCAATGCCAGCACCCCCCTGCTATGCCCTTCCATCTTCTTCAACACAACACCTGTCTCCAAGTCCCAAAGACGAAGTGTCTTGTCGTCCGAGCCCGTAATCATTCGTCGTTTATCCGGGAACACTGCGACTGCATTTATGAGCGCCTCGTGATCTTCAAAAGTTCGAATGGGTGTGGTGCTTGGAATGAGCTGTGACATTTTACTGGAGGCTGATGGTGTTGAGCACGGCCGAGGGATTGTGGGTGTCTTTCTCTAAGTTACAGAAGTGCGTGTATTGTGCGTTTCTATGTTGCTTCACCACGCTAACCATCCTCGTTTCCATAGACGCCCAAGACACGAGGCAGTTCACCATCATCGTCTGCTCCCAACCAGTCATAACCGACTGCACTGGTTACATGCGTCCGACATTTGTCTTCACAGTTTCAAGCCCTACCAAGATATCAAGCGAGTATCACACCTCTCCAATAAACTTTCAAGCTCGAGTCTTATGCCTCATGACCGCTCACCTTACAGCTCGCTGTAGACTAGTATAAAGTATGTGCATGTCTTGGTGCGTCTCGATTGTTGTTCCCCGTCAGGAAGGGAACGTTTCCAGTACTGTGCACCAAGAAGATTAAGCTTAATTTCAACAGATCCAGCGGAGGTAAGGCCTCTATATGTGATGGTACAATGCTAACTTGAACTCAAAGGTTACGGGCGGAGGATCCGGAGACGCGCACAATTTGGGATAAGGTTTCGATCTGTGTCGATCATAGTGCGCTCACCAGTCTTTCTGTTGGCACTACATATACACGGTGTCAACGCTTCGGACTTCAATATTATTCAATGAAAGTGATTGTGTCACACTCGGCGAATTCCCACAACAGTATGTAGATATAGGACTACTGACCTTTGAGCAATTCCGAGGTTTCTCCATTTCTGTTTCACACTGCGTACATTTCAAGCGAATCCTGCGTTCGTTTTGAGGTATCGGTACTTGCTAGAGCACGGAAAGTATCCTGCTCTGAATCAATCACACATATGATGGCATTTGGAATCGCAGAAGAGTCATTCGTGTCAGTCATGTCTTCGCAAAGGCTGTTGGCAAGCTGCAGGAGATATTTTGGGTGCAATGAACCGTGGTACTGTAATTGATTATCTGCAACGTGAAGCGCCGAAGTACTCCCTATTATGGACGTCACGTTCGTAACGAGCAGACCTCGGCCTCCGTCTTATTTGCAATCTAGGACCTTTTCGCCGATTCCACATGGCCAATTGAAGCGACCCATATATCCCGCGTTTTAAGATCTCATGTCTCTCACACAACTGCTATATTAACGAGCCTCATTTGATACACTAATGCCTATCATTCCAGATAACGCCCCCTACCCCACTGATGAATAGTACCACGGGCACCGTCGACTTCAAAGTCGGTGACGAGACATACCAAACGTGGTACAACGTCGTTGGTGACCTCAAGTCAGGCAAACGACCACTTATCACACTTCATGGAGCTCCCGGGATGTCTCACATCTACATGATATCGCATACCGAGATCTATTCTCTATACGGCATCCCAGTCATCTTCTACGATCAACTCGGCATCGGAAAATCCACCCATCTTCGCGACAAACCCGCCGAATTCTGGACCCCAGAACTATTCATGGACGAACTCGACAACCTTCTCCTGCAGCTTGGTGTCGAGAGTGACTTTGATCTTCTGGGGCACTCGTGGGGAGGGATGCTGGCTGCTGACTATGTCGCCCAGCGCCAACCTCCCGGCCTCCACCGTCTAGTCATATCCAGCTCTCCACCCTCGGAGAAACTGTGGGACGAGAGTATGCTGGGATATCTGGAAGCTTTTCCGGCAGAGTTTAAGGAGATGGTGTTGAAACACGAGAGAGAAGGCACCGTCTCTTCGGCGGAGTACCAAGCAGCCATCCAAGTCTTTCATGAACAAGCACACATGCCAGACAATGCCCTGGCCCGAAGAGCTGGTTGCTTCGTTTGCTTCCGTAGAAGAAGATCCCACCGTGTCGAATGCCATGTAAGCATCTCAACCACTTGAATTCCGGAGGACTCTGACCTCAGACCTGAAATTCAGGTCAGGGACCACACAGTTCCACTCGACTGGTTCATTGAGAACTTGGTCAGTGATCGACCGCCTTCATCGTATTCCATGCCCTACACTCGTCACGAACGGGCCCGAAGAGGGAGCTCAGGACTACGTGATTGCTCCTTTCATCGAGAAAATACCTAAAGTTAAGTGGGTCAGGTTTGCGAAGAGTCATATTGCGTTCTTCGAGGATAGGGATTATTACTTCAAGGCTATCGGTGATTTCTTGAGGGTGGACTGACAGCGTTCGTTTCGTTGGAATTTGACCTTCGGAAGTGTCCATTACTCGTCTCGGGGAATGTTTATAACCAATACATACGAGAACATACCCGATGCTGCCCGCTGAGTAAGATTGGTGGTAAGACCATGATATGGGAAGAGTGTTATTTGTATACCTAACATATCCCTGCCACACCAAGGTTCATTTCCGTTTCGCATTATGACCATGTTGGAGCTCGATCCAATGCTGATGAAACAGCCGTCAACGGAATGTCGAGAACTAAGGTTTGAAGTTACCTGCAAATCACTTCACGTCGACATCGACATCAAATAACACCTATCAATGATGATGTCGACACGATTTGCGAGTGTCAACCGTTGTGGCGTCCAACATTAGGCCTTATATCAGTTGTTAATCACGCTTTATGCCAGTTGCCTAGACTTGGCAGCGTGCGAGTCAGAAGAATAAGTCAATCATAGGTGATGCAGTACATGAGGCATAATATTGAGAGTCTTTATTGCTAGGCGTTCCATCAGTCGAACTATTGTAAACTCATCTATGTCCCAAGATCACATTTCTGCCCACATCACCGGCCCCATCACGACACCTATAGTCCATATCTAAACCATGAAAATTAGTCAACATGTTCCAAAACACTTATTAAATGAACTTACGACGTTCAGCGCTTTAATCCAAAAGCAACGGGTATTCGTAAAATCGCGGAGCGGATTTATTCCCAGGTCTAGGATGGGTGAACAACACCCAGATGGAGAATACCACCATAGGTGATCGAATTGCGTGCCAGCAATGACGGAGATTTCAGGATCCTAAACCAGATCAGCACGATCGTGACGATCATCGATATATGCATTACTGACCCGGCTGCTAATGACATGGGTTCGTCAGGAATACTTGGCACCTTTCCCGTAAAACTTGAATGCTCCTTCCTGCATAATGTCAAACGCCTCGCCTACGATCATAAGCCTTCAAGCATTCGACGGCTGATATCGACGTACCATGGGCCGCGAATATCCCAGCCCAGCTCATGCTCATGGCATTGATAGTGGATGCGAGCGGTTTTCTCATGTGGTGCCACTTCCTGAGGACAGCCGAGATGTCATCCCAGTCGCCAAAGCTCTCGACGTGGGCCAGAAGATCAGAGAGGATCACTACGTCATTCAATGCGACCGTCATTCCACCCGCAGTTAGCGGGTGACGCATATTCAATGAATCTCCGAGCAGAAACACGCCTGCCTTGCTACGTTCTCCTTGCTTTGTGGGCGGAAGATAATAATGCGGCGCTCGTCGCACACGCGACGTTTCTAGAGCATTGAGAATAGGCGCGCGGATCGACAATGGAAGCTGAGGAACAACGACACGCAGTATATGCTCCTGCAATATTGATGGTAAGTGGGGGCGATCACGACCGCACAATAAAGCAGAATTACGAACCTTGAGATCTGGCGGCGACTCCTTCAATTCGACCAGCATACGATACTCATTGTTGGGAAGCTCAAAAAGGATGACCGGTCCAGCGCCTTTCAGTACAAACATAGGTGGCATACTGAGGCACTGGCAGCTTCAGGTCTTTCAAAATCAGACCTGCCAAGTAACCCCTTTGCGAAGGCTTATACGGCATGCTTCCGAGGACGGCAGTTCTGAACTTGGATGAGGAGCCGTCCGCGACAATGACGAGGTCAGCAAAATATGACTCTGGCCGACCACCTGCTTTGGAGGCGTGAACACCTATTACGCGATGTGTGTCCTCGTTCTCGATGAGATTGATTACGGTAGTCTCGATCACGTCAACATTGGGCGCCCGCCGTGCGCGGTCGCGCAAGGCCATAACAAACGCTCCATGCTCAAAAGATCGCGCGTCATGGCCTTCAGGGAACGAGGCGCAAATGCCCTGCTCCCCTCGCAGAACGTGATAACCTAACAAAGAAACAGAGCCAAGATCCTCGAGGCATGACTCCAAACCAAGTTGCTTGAGCGCGGTGACGCCTCCAGGCTGGAGCATTTCGGCGACAATACGGTCTGGCTTTGACAAGGAGCGCTCAAGTAGAGCTATCCGCAAAGGAGCACGACGCTTGTTAGATGTCTGTGTGGCAAGGGCATGGGCAAGAGCTGGGCCTGCTACACCGGCACCGACGATGAGTACGTCGTAAGAAGAGAGCATGGCAGGATGGACAACTATGACAGGTGGGGCTCACCTGGTATTTATTAGAGAAGAGCCATGTCATATAGATCATCTCTCTTCGGGTAATATCTGCGTCATGCCAGTGAGTAGGATGGTTCAAAAGTATTCACGCCGGAAAATCTTACGATTCTTACCTGACGATACGGGTTGGACAGTCTGATATCCGAATACTGTCGATTGTGATAGGGCGCTTTCTCTCTTCGGTTGTCATATTTATAGCACATGTGCGGTACATATAAATCATGTCAGAGCGATGCGTTGGGAGACGAGAGTTGCGGAAACTGTTATTTCCCAAACACCTGAGGGCATCTGGGAATCGTTAATACCGAGAGGTAAAACCCAGTAAGGTCTGACTGTGCTAGAAGTAGCTGGGCTAGTTGAGAAACGCTCATTTTAGTGGTTTAGGGAAAAAACACTGATGAGCCCGAATCCTGGATACGAAACGGTTCAATTAGACTAAAACAAAGAACCGAGTCCCGTCAACCTGGAAATAATCAATTAGAACAGTGATGAAAACGACGACGAACGAACCTCTTACGAGATTGCGTACTTTGTCACTGTAGTGAACGGATAACTGTGAACAACTGAGCTGCCGTGGATAAAAACGGCAGTTGATTTGCCACCATGCCTCAAAGCACTTCCCCACGCTGTCCGTTTCGGAGCAGACATACATCCAAGTCCATGTTTTTGGTATTTCAATATGCGGTGCTCTTAATATTTGAATGTTCCTGACTTCCGGGGCCTACTAACCTGTGCATCGCCATCACTGTACCTCTATTCACCGAGTCCATGTCACCCACACGCCTACTGGCAGCTGCACCATAGCCGTCAACTCAGCTATTGCCAATACACCGTATTTCTCACATTCTTGTTTACTCTGCTCTCCTTCGACACTTGCTATCAGTTACTTTCCTATTCCAAACCTCTCCCGACGCTACCAACTCCTTTTTTGGCCCACAACACTCTTGCTATTGGCGCACCCTATAGCAAATCGTTGACCATGAACAGGCCAACAAACGCTATCGCAATAAGGAACCGAGTGTGCAGCATCGTGGAGTTCCGAGACAGAAGGAGCTTAGAAGAATAGAGTTTTTCAGGCGGCATAGTGGCATGGTATGTTGGTTTTCGCTATCGTAGATTTATCCTACAACGCCCATCACTCCGGTTTTTCTAGGAACCGAGACCCGCTCTCATCTTCCATTCACTGCCTTCCTTGCTTTCATTCTTCCCGTGCTTTGGCGCCTGCCATGCATGCCCCAGTACCTACCGCTACCTCACAACAGCAACCGCGATCCACCAACACCTCTGCCAGTTATCACGCCTGCCGCTCACGCCCCGTACGATCACCCTCACAATATACTTGCTTGCCGCTTTATACCCTTCGACAGTGGGCCTCGGCACCGATTTTCGATCATGAGTGCGTGTAATAGAGCCCCGGTCGAGACCAACCGCTCCCCACAAACGCACATCCATTCTCAGCGCTCCGCCAGCTTTCAATGCTCGATTCACTTCCTCCTGCAGGTTCCTACACCTTCCACTGCCTCTCGCGGCTCTTTCATGACCTAGTGCACGGAGTCCAGATTTATCTTGTATTTTAAGGCCATAAGGGTAGGACTACAAATGTATTTCTACAGAGATAGTCATACCACGGCAAAAATGCCATGAAAATGATGCATATTGATAATATGTACACTATCGCCGCACACGGACAAAACGTATCCTTCCCCTTCGATGAATCCCTTGAAGCGCTTCACAAATATATGAAGTCCGGACAGCCATCTTGCTAGTTCCGCCTTTTCTCAATACAAGTTGCAGACATCGACATAGTGGAAATGTCCGTATTCATTGTAGTCAAATTGAAAGTTCAGAAGTTCAGGCAAGAGGAGCGCGATTTGGGACATTGTCGCGTGGCCATCATGTAATGAATCGAGTGACATTTCATCTCCAAAGAAGAAACATGATTGTCTATTCAACACTCCAGTTTACGCTATCTACAAAGTATTCCGCCACCAACAAAACGTATCATTGTCACAGCAAGTCCAGCCTAAAGAAACGGTATCTGGGAACGCGGAAGAGTGCAGAGCGTTTATAGGGAAAATCAAAAATCTGAACCTAGACTTCAGCAAACAGTCGCAATAGAATTTATGCTCCACTTACTGTTCGAATATGCATGGCAGAGTCAAATTCCACTTTGATTATGGAGGAATTATCAGCTCTGGGCTCAGTCATCACACTTTCGGTGCGGAGGTCCGCCAAGAAGCAGTAGTGTATCAGAGCACGATGCCACAGACTGGCTGCACGAATATTCTCGGTAAGACCAGGCTTGCATGCGGGAATACACGACTTACTTCGCACAGCACCACGGAATTTATCCTCTCCGACAAGGACGTGGATGCCCCTATCCCAGTCTCCAGGACCACCAGGAATGTAGGGTGCCACATGATTTTCCTTGCATACCGTTTTAGCCTATTTTCAAGAAAGCCCAAGATGCTCACCTTCAGATAGGTGATCTCCGCATATCCCATGGGATTGCCGTTCCAGCTCATTATTACAGGCAGAACACCAGGGTCGTTCGTTATTTCCGTGATATATGCTCTGTGTTTCTCCAGCGAGCCGCGTTCTCCCCACCCCTTGTTCACTCGCTCTGAATTATGCCAACGATGAAAGAAGTCTAGATGCTCTGAAGTATTCGATCCGCTGCGGAGATCAAAGTACGTGAACTCTAGAGTCTCCCCTATGGATGGACAAAATCGCCTAAATAGCATGTTCTCCTGGTTCAGGCTTTGGTGGACGACGGGGGTGCCCGGAAATGACAGTGGGTGTACGGGTGAATGACGGGATGAAGGGAAAAGGTGCAACTGAAAAGGATGATGGAGGTAGCCAGCCGCGACTATGGTATCCTTGTGTTCCCGCACCCTGCCAGAATGTGGCTCTGTGCAAGTATATTTCCTCTTTTGAAGCTGTAGGCGCATGTGCCGTACGCCCGAGGCCAGATCGAAGTAAATACGAGCGTAGCTCCTCGCTATTATTGATTTTCTGAGACAGGACAACCGGGATGGTCTCTTGATTGTGGTACAGCGTGAAGAGTGCGTATACAGTCGCCCACATATCTTTCACGGAGATGTCGTTTCTATATGTCTGTGGCGAGCTGACCTGGGAGGAAGAAAGGATCTCGATGACCTGAAAGCTTGGTACATGTGATGCGGTAGTTTCGAACTGCGTGCCGACAGGCTGAAATGACGAGCTGCGTGGTCCGATCGAGTAAATGATACTCGCACACAATCAATTCATCGATGTGAATGAAATTCGTCGGCGATACAGAGTCTGCCTTGGCGGTCATGACCGCACCATCTGGCAAGATGAAATTGTCCACCTTCTGGTCATCACTGACAGAAATGTCTGTGCAGTGCATTTTGTATGGCTAGGAGACGTTGGGCAGCATGAAGTCATCGGTTACGGTTATGAGAAGCTCGACAGGGCGAAACCGAGAGCTAAGAAATGTAGTCTCAGTTTATACCTCGAAAATATACTAATAACGAGTTAGTAAAATATGTAGTTGATATGAGAGGATACTCACATCTCAGTCAAGATGTTCGTTCATCGCCGTGTATCCTTTATACTACGCTAACACGAATTCCGGGTATTCATTCGCGCCTAAAATATCTTATCCTTTGAAGGCGGCGGCGGCGGGCGAGCGGGCCATCAGAGAACCTGTGAGAAGAAGACATCGTAATGTATAGGAAAGAAGTTTTCGTCACATTGGAATATAAAGTGATATAAAGCAATATATGACTGTGTAAAAGCACCACGATCAGCATAATCCCCAGCAAGAACTCACCGGTTTACTGATGCGCCCTCGTTGATCCGGAGTCCAACTCCACCATCACTGGGCATGCCAGTGGTCAGATCACATAGTCAGAAAAAATGGCGTGATTATAATGGTAAAGGTCCATACATCGTCATCAGTTGCCCTCTGGCCTCTCTCCTCTGCCAAATGAGGGTTTGAACGACTTCGCTTCAGGAATCCCCAACGCTTTTTCCGAGGAGGGTTGTTTTCACTCATCGAGTAAGTTACTGTTGGAAGGACGGTTGGATGGGTTGTAAGAGGTTTCTTGGAGAAGGTAATGGATAGTACGCATGGTAAACAGGCAGCTGCCGAAGATGCGTTTTGAAGCGCCCATCACCGATTGGCTGGACTAGTATATCGATGTATTGATGCTACGTAGAACCTTATCGACGATTAGTAAGCCATCAGAAAACTTGCCGTTGTTGGGTACGAGTACTCGCAGCCGTTCACGCCCCGTACGATCACCCGCACAATATATTTACCTCTTCATCGCCTTACACCCTCCAACAGTGAACCTCGGCACCAATTTTCGACCTTCTGCACACCAGTTAGGAGTCACATGCACAGGGGAACAATCAGTGACGTACGGCAGATAGACTGTGCGAATAACGTATGGTGGTGTCTTAACATCACCAGAGAGCAGCGAAATCTTCGTCTCCGCGAGAGCGCATGAGGTTTGAGTAAATCGAAACATCAAACAGTGTGACCAGTGTTCCATAGTTGTCAATTGGTAGGGTGTCGATGATGTACTCGACGAGGGTGCAATTCAAGGCAACATCAATTTCGCCTGTACATGTAGTATGTGCGTACATTGGCAATGACTCATGCTGTCAAGATCCTCATTAGCGGTGATTAGACTGGAGGAAACGTTGCACACCTTCCAACCAGAAGGCGCATCCTCCGGAATAAAATGAGCCTTTTGTACGGGAAGATCTGCGATAAAGGAAAGCTATATCGAAGGAATGAGCATGGAGATTGCACGATATATTTTGGACATTTAGCGCAACTTGATATTCCAGGAGAAATCAACTTCTTACAGAATCTCATGAACAGAGGTGAACGAAAGGTAGGAGGACAACAAATAGAGCCGCAGCACATGTTCAACTGGCCCGAGAAACCGTGAGTATCCTCGTTTGGCTACATCACTAAAGCCTTGCGCTGTCGCCAAGTTGAGTATGAAGGACAGAATATTAGTGCGATGGCCAAGCTCGTTGAATCTTTCGTGCAATGTTGCGTTCTGATGCAAACAGCTCCGATGCTGTGTAGGAATTCCGAGGATCATATGTAGGCTCGTGACGATCATATGGCATCAGCTTGATTATCGGCCAGTGATGTCACATATTTGCAATACAGAAACTCTCTCTTGTAGCTCCTCGGATCATGTCAGCTCAAAGAAATCGAAAACCAAGGAGAAAAAATCCACATACCTGCCGGTAAGCTACACTGTCATCTTCTGTTCTATAGATTTTGAAGCGCTCACGAGTCATAAATGGGCTGTTGGTGAGCTGCACTTACTAGTCTACCTTGATCTCACCATGGCTCATGCAATGGATCAAGATGTACAAACCCGCAACTCTTCAAGATGGCTACGCATAATTCTGTGTGATAGTATCCAAGTGGCTTTAGAATGAAAGTTTTTCCACGCCAAAGCACCGCATCAAGACTAGTGAGCGCTAGTGAGCACTACTAAGCTACGCTCTCGCTACTACTACTTCCGTTGTGTTTCGAACTTTATCACAAAGCCATACTAAGTGCGTGCGCACCAAGATATATGCCATAATTTGAAAGATGTGGTTTGCGCCCTTCTACATGCTGTTCTATCCACATGGCTGCCTCGTACATCGCCGGGCGGAGGCACAAAACTATACGACTTATGTGCTGTTTGACAGCCTTTTGGATTTGCAACAACAACTGCATAATGTCATCCTCAAACCTCACCACCGTTCAGAAAGATGGTAAGTCTCATCGACTTGACTTGCTATGTCGCTGCGATTGATGCTCGTTCAAGTCTTAAACATGGTCATGCCTCTTGTGGCGGCCACTGTCACATCATTCCGCTTGTATTGTCGTGCGCGGCAAGGACGTTTATGGATCGATGATTTATGGGCGACCTTCGCCATGCTATCCATTCTTACCCTATTAATTGTCAATTGGATATATATGGAAGCCTACGGTGAGCCTCGTTTTCTTGTGTATGGTACATACCATTTCCTACAGATACCCAGAAAAATATCCCCAGGACACGAGGGTAGCAATGTTTTACATGTATGTTCTCGTATATCATGATGTTTGAGAAACATTAAAGCTGTTTCGGTACCAGGCTCGTCGTATTATTTCCCACAGTTGTTTGGTACGGCTCTGGCGGCATGTTAAGGCGACGCAACTGACACGCACGTTTATAATAGGTGCTCCAGGATATCAATTCTGTTAACAGTTGTACGACTCACAGCTCCCGGAACCCTCAGGAAGATCCTCATGCGTACTACAATGGTCTTTGTCATTTTATGGGCTGTACTCTCTGTACAGGTGTTGTGGACTTGTGAAGATGAACCCGGCTGGAAAACAGAATCACGCCCGCAGTGCAATCTCGGCAAAAGTGTTGCAATAGCGCAGATCATCAGTGAGGGTCAACAGTACATACGATGCAATAATGTTCTGATCAACATTTTAGCTGACGTTTTTGGAGACACTGTTCTTATCTTGGCCCCATTTCGCCTCATTTATAAAGTCAGATTGACGAAGGCACAGAAAATACGAATACTTGCCATCTTTTCGACATCAACAATCACCACCGTTGTTAGTCTTGTCCATGCATATTACATCTTGTCGGATGAAGGTCTGAAGGAGGCGATGGCTGCTATGGTCGAGGTATAGTACTTTCAGTGCTCAGACAGTGTATATCATTGATCACCTTTTAGACTTCCGTGTCCTTGATCGTCGCGAGCTTAAGTGTGGTCGTGGCATTTTTCTTAAGAATGAGCGCAAAAGATGATACACCCTCGTCATGGCAATCTTCACCCGTTATAACCATCGGATCACTGCCTATCAGGCGTCACCGCTTTAACGACCCTCTCGCCACGACTGCAATAGGCATTGATACCACCACGATCAGGTTGACAAATCTCCCTGAAACTTGTCCCAGTGCGCTGAAAAGTGACAACACGGACGAAATCTCTTTGAACAACATAGAGGGAAAGCAGGGCAGCGGTGAATTGTGGGGAGCATAAAAGTGTGGTCTCCGTTTTACACTACTGGACTTTGGATGGACCGTTATCCGAACAAAACATACCTTACACGGCCTCGTCAGTCTGGGGAGACACGGCGTTCCTGGCTGGAACATTAGACGATGGCTGATCACAGTCCAAACAAACTTCGCTGCTGTCCATGATGCATCAATGAGTTCGAGCAAGACTTGGGCAGAGCTTGTTTGGTTCAAGTCATGCCACACGTCAGGTCATCAATCGCATCGTTCATAGCGGTTGCGCGAAACGGCTCGTGTACCTAACTTCATCGTTGACTACAAGAATACTGTAAGCATGGCTTACGCATACATCACTGACACGTCACCAAAGATGTCATCAAAGTGTCCTCGGACACGGAGTACTGTTCATTTATATTTGCCTTAACACATATTTATACACGCATACTCATGATGTATCAGTATCACTTCTCTTTCCGTTCAATCATATACGCTTTGACACGTACTGCAGTTAGAATTGTCTTGGTGTTTCCACTCCGCACGCGAGTGGTTTCTAAATACCACATCTTAATACCATGAGAAGAATATGAAGTGTATCTCGATCGCCATAATGAAGAACTATAAATGTGGCACCAAACTAGTCCACGACACCACTTTGTATACGTCAGGAGGAAGATTGTGTAAAGTGAACATAAGTACCAAGAGGATAGCACGAGCTGTGATGTACAATATAATATATAAGGTACAGCTCAGGTTGCTGAACGGCGATGGGTATAGCCTAAAGTACAGGACGTCCGAGAGATCTAAATGCAGTGGGGAATATAATGAAGGGTGTGCAAGTTATGACGATTGCACTCGTGCGCCATAGCACCTGTTCCTGAAGGCAAAAGACCAAACCATGCAATGGACGCCGTCAAATACGGTTGTCATAACTGATGCAGCAAGTAGAAGAACCTTGTTGTCCAAATATTCGAGTTCGACGCTACCATCAAATGTTGGAACGTGGAGCCTTCGAGGTGCGAGAATGTCAAACAGGTCTGCAATTCGGTCGAGGACTGGAGAAAAGAGCCCAAAAAAGTGACTTCACTTTCATAGATACTAAGGCAGACATAATCAACAGCGGTATAATTGTTGAGGCGCATACATACTCATTAATGTGATATTCTGACCCAAACTCGGTCGACCTCCAGTACACTGGATGTGGATATTATATGTTGAGAGGCTTGTTCCACCACACTGCATCAGTTAGGAAAGTGAGAACTGCAGAAGCGAGTGTCCTCACTTCAAACTGGGTGGTTTCGAGGTGATAGATGGCGCGGGTTCTGAGCCGTACAACAAACTAAGTCACTTAAAGGATGACTAACCCTTTCGATATCGCATTGCCTTTGCTCCTACCATAGATCTGGTTCGCCGTTAGAATAGGGAAGTCGACACACTCTTTACGCGACAGTTCGAGAATGTCATTAGGCAGTAGTGTGAGGTAGGGTTCTTCGTCCACATAAAGCATGAAATCACTCATGTGCACAAACTTGAAGAAGCCGTGTGTCTGAGTCCACGATGCACACGAGTCAGCATTTAAGTGGGCACGAATTGAGTTTACCTTCAGATTGCTCTAAAACATAAGCCTTGAACGTTTTGAATGGCTTCGCGAGAATAAGAGTTTCCTCATATCTTGAAGCGGGTACTGGAGTACTAGCATGAACTGCTGAACAAACACGAGTACAGATGATGTTCACCTTCGGGATGCGCTACGAGAAACACGGTGATATCATGACTTTAAGAAGCAGGCAAGTCATAAGATAGAATATTGGTGACCTTCAACGTATTGTTCTGCAGTTGTTTTGATGAACCCATGATCTGAGGACGAGTATAGCGAGACTCACCTTCAGACTCCGGACGAACGATGGGATACCCCAATTCCTTGAACTGTCCTGTAACAAGGTAAGCACTTAACCACTGGCACATAGCCTAGGTTACGATCAACTCAGGAGCGACTAGTGCCAACTGTCATCATGCCAAATTGTGGCCATAGGATACGAAGGGGACTGTATTTGGGACTCGAAATATTAGGGTGAATGTGCACGCAAACAGAGTGAAAACAGAGCTAGTTCAGTTTCAGAACTGTCATTTGTTGTAGATGCAGCTCGGATGACTGCGACAGGGTGAAGGAGGATGCAGAAAATTATCAGTAAACGTACTAGTATTGGATGTCACTTTGGGGTGAACCATATACACCTCGCTCACTATTTGTCTTTGGACGTCTTGAACAAAACTGAGAAGGGCAATCACAAACTAGATCAAGTTGCAAGATGTCTATGCAATACAAAGAGTAACGTTGGGAAAACAATGTACAGCATCGATGTAAAACGAAAAGAAGCTGTCCGAATCAACGACCATCAGCTTACATCATATCATGGGACGACCCGGTGCTATCTATCGATATGAAAATAGCTGTAGTATACTCGGTACAATACCCCACTGCAGCACAGCCCGCAGGGCACGGCGTCTTGCCCGCAAAATCAGAACTTGCGTGTCGGAAATGCCCGGACGAGGACACCTGAGACTTGAGCGATACATTTGTAGTAAGTACTACTAGTGTAGTACTAATCTGAGATCACTGAAAGATAATGTTGTCACGTCGCATCAGTTCGTTCCTGGAGACACCTGGATTCAAGGCTACTTTTATTATCAACAGCGCCGACAAGTTACATTGTCATCTTCGGGGGTCAGTCAACTCTTTCCCGCAGTTATTTGGCTGTTAATAGGTGTGCGCCTCGATATCAACAGCGGTGATTTCCGATCATACCTCGTTCCTGCGGACCTAGTGCGGATGCAGAAATTACAATGTCAACGGACCATGATGTCATCAGAACCCTAGGGGGAAAGAACGCATCAATCTTCGTGGCAAATACATCTGATCATAAAATACTCATATCCGATGAATGAATATACAACGTCATCCTGGATCATTCAATTTATCCTCCGTTGAACGACATATGTAGGGTGCGATTGTTCAAGCCGTTGGTATGTTTTTCAGGATTGCAACATGCGTGCGTGCGATATTGACGTTGTACACGGTCAGGCATAATCATGCATTACTTTCGGCATGTGAGACAGTCATTGGTGATACGGGCTGAGTGCGAGGAAGGGATATATACGAGGTGAATACATAGTCATGTTCTTCATCTTGATCTGTATCCCCCAGATCCCTTAGATCAAAAAGAACGCGCGAAGCCAAGACACCATGCAAGACACCTTGGAACCTGATTCAGAAAATTTGTCAGTTATCTCTGGTTACGATGTACAGCCACTTACACAACCATAATTCCACCCTGCCCCTGCGATGAGGCCTGTACCAGGTATTCATATATTACCCTAGCGTGGTGCATGGAAACCACGTACCGGCAATGAAAAAGAAACTATGTTTATAATCGAAATTACTTGAAACACAGTCAAGTTGGGACATAAAACGAGTCATAAACCGGATTACATACCAAGAAGCGACAGTGCATATAGCAAACTACCCCTCAACAAGGTTGACGTCACTCTACCGATAGAGCGTATACCATCAGAGCGTAGTCGTATTGAATGATACATTGTAAGAGTGATCACTACTGAACGCGATTTGTCAGTAGAGCTAACTTGAGGCAGCGTATTGAACTGCTCACTGAGTTCAAACAGTGCTGCGCTAACAAACTTGCCCGTTATCAGACGTTCCATTGTCGTAAACTCTGAAACCATTGGAGTGGGTACACATATGTTTTCGAGCAGAAGCGCCAGAAGCGCATCGCAAATGACCATAGCGACAACGATAAGCTTTAAGCTCGATTAAATCGCCACTTCAAATAACAAAACATTCAAAGCGTTTACCAAGTAGCTCGCCAATAAAAATAGCTTTATCTTCCTGCTGTCATACCACAAGGCAAGTATACGCACCAGAAGCAGACCTGAAACATGAGTTTTTCTCTCTTTGTTGGTGTCAACAAACTAACCTTCTGCAGCGGACATGATAAAAAAGAGGGACGCTACGATGTATTAGCTGACGTTGAACCAGCGACCACGAGACCTACTCCCACTAGTTGTATTTACTATCAAGCACTGTATTGTTCAGCATTAATATCATTACGTTGAATAAGGTTCACATCAAGTCCATACCGTTTCTGGTGAACATGGGCTAAGAGTGACTGGCAGACCACTGTCCCTGAGAACCTTTCCCCAACAACGAAGTGCACGACTTACGATATATTTGAGTGATGATCCATATTACGGGAGCATATCTAGCCAGGATGAACATGACAGTGACAATGTTCCAGCAGCTCATGTTGCTGAACAGACGGACTTCATGTTCAAAAGTCAAAAAATAATCGAGTATCTAATGAAGACAATAAAGTTTCAGCATCCACTCGTGAGAAGAGGACGTAGTTCACTCACCCAGATCGCGGCCGGCGCAACTTTGTCAATATTTTGAGCACAGACTAGAACGAGGGAAGTAAACCAACAACGAACCCTGAAGATACTGTGAACGAAGTACGAGAGTTAGTTCTGAGAACGAAAGCTCAGGCGTCAAGCGCTCATACCTTGAATGTCTGTTGTGCAGTGTGCGACAAAACCATACAGTGTAAGGTATATAGTAGTACGTGCGTGGACTGGCTCGTAGACTGGGTGGATATTTATGATAAGTTCTGATGCTTAATATATAAGCTCTAGATCCAAAGAGCAAGAGCGTGAGCCTCGCACTTGAAGGAGTCTTCTTCGGTCGCGTCATTAATGCCGTGCATCGAGTCGGAGAATCTCCAAGCACAGCGTTCAAAGACCGAGCTATGTAATGAAATGTGCAACTCACGGTATATATATATCGATGATTATCAAGAGCTGACGTTAACCGAGCGCTGAGCTGTCACCTTGGCGCTCGGTCTGGGCGTGTCGCTCGATGATGAATGCCTTGTGATATCTATGTAGTCGTACCTTACTATCATACACGGAAAGGTTACGAATCCCGACTGATTTAGAAGTCCGAGCGGTGTTTACGTTTACTCTAATATTCAAATCGGCTTCCGACGCTACTAGGCTATTCTAAGGATGAACTCGAAAATGCCCCCCCTTCCTGTAATCGCAAGAAGAGGCGGAACACGTTCAAGCGGCTCCTGCAGGAGATCGCCACGCACCCTTTCATCCTTGTCTGAAGATCATATTTGCGCACAGGTCTACGCTGCAATACACCATGCCTGCAGGTCTGGCATTGAAATTTTATGACCAACTTAAACGGCTGAGAACTCCTAATTTCGCGGACTGCAGACTTGCATTTCATTCTGTGTCACAGAAGGCGTGGTCTAACCCAGGGTCCATCACATATCGAATCAAGACAGACGGACTGTAACATGATCAGCCTGCCGCCCACGCATAACCGTTACACCAAAAGGTGAAATACTGAAAGCTAACTTGAAGCTTTCAGTATCAGCGACAGTATATGTACTGATTATGAGAACTCAGGTAAGCCAGCGTGCTTACACGGACTTCACTACCTGCTTGTTACCACTCAAGATGTCCTTATTCACACATACCGAGAGGTTGTAGTCATCCAACGATACCGCTACTGCCTGCCGGGTATACCAGTAGTTGTTCGAGTCCTGAGCGGTATGATTCATATTAATATAGACATGGTAAGTCATGGCAACGTTTTGTCCTAATACTCACGAGTCCTCACTCCGAGTCCTGACCATATCATACCGGCCTCGGTCACTGCTACGCCTAGCGAGTATTGTATTGATATACGCACCTGTGAAGTTGGTCGCACCTGCCAAAGGTGCCAACTTGAAATTGGTGCGTATCTCTGCTGTAGCTCCCGGATACTTCCAAGAAGGACGTTATACAAGAACAAGAGGAAAATTTTGAGGGAAGGGTGGAGCGACAGGAGGAGCAAAAGTCTGAAGCTGAAGAGGAAGAGATGATGGAAGAGGTGGAGAGGAGGGCGCAAAGGGTGAAGGAGGAAGGAGATGCATGGAGGGAGTGTGTCGTATTATACCAACCCGGACACCGAACGAGTTCTATAATATGTAGTATGTGAACCATTCAACCAACACCGAGCCCAGCTTTCGTGTCAGTTACGCAATGATTCAGAGTCACAGCTGAATCCAAGGCTGCTTTCATTATCCACACTAGTAGTGCCGACAAGCTACACGGTCATCTTCTGGGGTTGGCGAATTCTTTTCCGCAATTAGTATTTGGTACGGTTCTGGCAGCATGTTAAGGCGGATCAACGCGTAGATTTGTGTGCGCCTCGATATCAACAGCGGTGATTTCCGATCATACCTGCGCTCCCAGTGCGGATGCAGAAGTTACTAAAACGTCAACGGGCCATGATGTCATCAGAACCTAGCTAGGGGGAAGAACGCATCAATCTCCACGTCACCAAACACATCTGATCGTAAAATACTTATATCCGATTGTACATGAACATACAACGTCATCCTGGATCAATCAATCTATCCTCCATTGAACGAGATATGTAGGGTGCGATTATTCGAGCGGTTAGTAGGATTGCGACATGCGTGCGTGCGATATTGATGTTGTAGACGGTGAGGTATGATCGATCATGCATTACTTTCGGCATGTAAGACAGTCATTGGTATCATTTGTGATACGCGCTGAGTGCGAGGAAGGGATATATATGAGGTGAATAAATAGTCGTGTTCTTCATCTTGACCTGTATCCATCAGATCCCTTAGATCAAAAAGAACCCGCGAAGCCAAAACACCATGCAAGACACCTTGAAACCTGGTTCAGAAAATTTGTCAGTTATCTCTGGTTACAATGTACAGTCACTTACACATCTATGATTCCATCCTTCTCCTGCGATGAGGCCTGTACCAGGAATTCATATATTACCCTGGCGTGGTGCATGGAAACCACGTACCGGTAATGCAAAAGAAACTATGTTTATAATCGAAATTGCTTGAAACACAGTCAAGTGGGACATAGAACGAATCATAAACCGGATGACGTACCAAGAAGCGACAGTGCATATAGCAAACTTCCCTTCAACAAGGTTGACGCCACTCTACTGATTGAGCGTATACCATCAGAGCGTAGTCGTATTGAATGATACATTGTAAGAGTGATCACTACTGAGCACGACTCATCAGTAGAGCTAACTCGAGGCAGCGTTTTGAATTGCTCACTGAGTTCAAACAGTGCTGCGCTAACAAACTTGCCCATTATCAGGTGTTCCATTGTCGCAAGGTCTGAAACCATCGGAATCGATGCGGGCGTACATATGCTTTCGAGTAGAACCGCCAGAAGTATATCGCAAATGACCATGGCGACAACGATAAACTTCAAGCTCGGTTAAATCACCACTTCGAATAGCAAACCGTTCAAAGCGTTTACCCAGTAGCTCGCCAATAAAAATAGCTTCATCTTCCTGCTGTTATGCCATAAGGCAAGTATACGAACGAGAAGCAGACCTGAAACATGAGTATTTTTCTTCGTTGATGCCAACAAACTAACCTTCTGCGGCGGACATGATGAAAAAGAGGGACGCTACGATGTATTAGCTGACGTTGAACTAGTGACCGCGGGACCTACTCGCACTAGCTGGATTTAGTGTCACGCACTATATTGCTTACCATTAGCAACATTGCGTTGAATAAGGTTCACATAAAGTCCATACCGTTTCTGCTGAATATGGGCTAAGAGTGACTGGCAGACCACTATCCCTGAGAACCTTTCCCCCAACAATAAAGTGCAATACTCACGATATATTTCGGTGATGATCCATATTACGGGAGCATATCTAGCTAGGATGAACATGACAGTGACAATGTTCCAGCAGCTCATGTTGCTGAACAGACGGACTTCATGTTCAAAAGTCAAAAAGTAATCGAGTATCTAAAGAAGATAATAAAGTCTCAGCATTACTCGCGAGAAGAATACGTGGTTCACCCACCCAGATCGCAGCCGGCGCAACTTTTTCAATGTTTTGAGCGCAGACTAGAATGAGGGAAGTAAACTAACAACAAACCTCGAAGATACTGTGAACGAAGTACGAGAGTTAGTTCGGAGAACGAAAGAGCAGCAGGCGTCAAGCGCTCATACCTCGACCGTCTGATGAGCAGTGTGCGACAAAACCATATGTAAGGGATACAGTACGTGCGTGGACTGGCTCGCAGACTGGGTGGATATTTATGAGAAGTTCTGATGTTAATATGTGAGTTCTAGATCCAAAGAGTAAGTGTGCGAGCTTCGCACTTGAAGGAGTCTTCTTCCATCAGAAGTGCCATCAATGCCGTGCGGGAGAATCTTCCAAGCACAGCGTTTAAAGACCGTAATGAACCGTGCAAGCACAGTATATATATATCGATGATTATCAAGAGTTGAGCTTAATCGAGCACTGAGTACAGCTGAGCTGTAACCTTGGCGCTCGGCTCGGGTGATGGATGACTTGTGATATCTAGTCGTGCCTTACTATCATGATCGAATCCCGACTGATTTGGAAGTCCGAGCGGTGTTTACTACTTTGCATACTTATCCTTCCGACGCCACTACGCTACCTGGCTAGGGTGTGACATGGGTGGACGTTACCCGGATATCCACCCGGGTACCACCCGCGGACGGAACGTGGGCCGGATGGTACGGATGGTGGGTAGGGTGGATGGTTCCATCCGCACGGGTACGGGTCGGAGGGCTTGCTAAACGGGTGTATCCGCAGGTATCCGCGGGTAGTCAGTACTCCAAATAGCAAATATTTTCGGCCAAGTCAAGCTCACTCCGAACTCCCATCCGACGTCAAAATCTGTCGAAATCAAACTCGCGGAGGTATGGATAGGTATACGCATCTCACCAGATCAATATTTGTTATCAGAGCTATCAAAATGTGATATTATTACTTCTGAGTTTTCAATGTTTAAAACTTGATGTGCAAAATGACCTGGTCCGATTCCATTCCTCGTCCTTAATCAGACTTGTCTCAATGGTGAGGAAGCATTTTATTTCACCAGCGGGTACATCCTCGGCACCCGGGTCACCAGCTATGGATCCACCCCATCGTAAACGACCAGCGTCCGCCGTCTCCGATATCAATTCCTGTTCTACAGTCTCCCAAAAAGAAGCGACGAGCCAAAGCGGAAAAATCTGACCTTGATATTTGGGACGAGAACGACAATGACATCATTGGTATTTCCTTGCGTAATCTTAATATTAAATGTATCAAAGCGCAGGTTACTGTTGGATCGTGGTTAACGTTCAACATGCCTTTTATGCCTGATCGCAGTGTCGCCACGAATATCATGCGGTAGAAAAAGAAACAGGCAGGTTGTTATCATCAAAATCGACTGTGATTGATATTGTGTAGTCTACCCAATACCTACTTTGTATCTACAATTCATAATGTGTCACCCGCGGGTGACCCGTACCATCTGCGGATCCATCCGTGGATCCACCCGCACCCGCGGTACTCTCACCCGTACGGGTGCGGGTAGGCCTCTGAAGTTCCATCTACCCGCGGATTGGGTACGGGTGCCACCCGGGTCCACCCATGTCACACCCTATACCAGGCTTGAATCAACTTTTTACGCTAAGGTCTCGCGGTGATTAGGCAAGCGGAGTCCCCCAGCTCCATGCTCGGGGGACTCGTTGAATTTTATTGCGAAACCGAGAGACGAAGTACTGTACATGATAGCACAGAGTGTAGAAGACGCGGGTCTCGAGGAAAAAACGTGCTCAAGTGAGCAATAGAAAAGCTCTGGTGGGAGAAAGGATGAAAGTGAGAGCCGGATGTGCGAAGGAGAAGCGCGAAAGAGAAGATGTGAGCGACGGAGGCGCGAAGGACATGCTAAAGGGCCTATTTTTTTTTTTTTTTTAATATGCGGTGTTGTCTTTTGCTTTCTGGTCTTGGTGCCGTTTTCTTATTTGAAGAAGCAGATCCTTGTCCTGAATGACACGCGAGATGTCTCATGTCATTTGTGTGGTCCGTGCGGACCCGTGTAACAGTGCGTTCAGCAAGAATGCATGTTGGCGTATATATTTTTTGAATTCGTCCGATGACCACCGCCCTGCAGCTTGAATAAGATCAGGCGTCATACCTGCTATAGCCAGTGCAGTGGCTCCTCCTGCTCTCATCGAGTGACCCGACATGGCCGAGCCACAATATTGGCGCAGACGCCGAAGAAACCAAGAGCGTGTGGGAATCGAACCAGCGCTTGTCAACCACAGCGCTGGGCGAGAGGGAAAAGACCCGTCTCTGAATGCGAAGTAACGACGTAACACCGGCAGTGGGTCGTTGTCGAGAACGGAATCCGATAACAAGAGGATGGTGCTCCCAGTCCCCAAGCCATCGTTCTTCTGATAAGGTAGCGTGTAGGAGATGCTTCTTGCCGTGATGGAGAGAGTGTGTCGGAGAGGGACTTTTCTGTAAGATTGATGCTTCACTGCATCAGGCCAAGTGAGTTCTCCCAGTCGTTGCAGAGTCAGAAACCCAGTGAAAAGCAGAGCTAAGAACAGACTATTGTCGTGCTCTAACTCTAAACCGAGCTTCCTTTGGACCTGCTGCAAGTCGTCGATACTCAAAGGTAATTTCCTTTGTACCGGTTTTGACAAACGGCGTTTGCAGCCACGAAGTGTCCGTACGACTAGCGATGAACGTCGAGCCGCACGGACGTCAGGATACGTGTCTTCGAGTCGACTCGAGATTCCTGAAAGGTAAGAGTCGACGGAGCGTGGTTCGATGTGATGCGATAACCAAACCACGTAAAAAGATAGTGTATCAATCGTTGGATCGATTGGCAGGTGATGCAGTCGACAGAAGGTGATGTATGAGTTCAGATGCGAGTTGTACACAGATGCTGTTGTTGAGTCAATAGCGAAACCAAGTGCTACTGAGCGCTCATACAAGAGGCGCTCAGGTGTCCAAGCTTCCCTCAGAGGTTGCCTGGACGATGAAGATACATTCATCATTTTTTCGCTGCCCCCAGCGCATCTCGAGGGGGTTCGAAATCGAAGAAGCTCGCGGCAGGAGCTATCTCCAATACACGTTCGTTCTGGAATCGCGAAAGTGCGTCGGCTACCCTGTTCTCCGAACCAGGGATGAATTCGACACGCAGGTCTACTTGATACTCCAGCAGGACGTCCACTGCCGCTAGAATGATGGAGTTATAAGGGGGATGAGCACGAAGTGAGTTAAACATTGCTACTGTGTTGGAATTGTCGGTGTAAATGAGCATCCTAGGTGGGCTTTCCATCATGTTCGGTATGGCATGAATGGCCGAACACACTGCGAGGGCCTCGAAGAAGAAGATGGTGTCTTTGGGAGCTTCAATGGGCAATGGCGACTGACCGGCGAAGTTCTCGTGAGGAAACCATAGACCCATTCCTAATCCTGATGCGTCCGTGTAGACTACTACCACGTCCTCAGACAGTGGGTTAAAGTCCAAGGCTTTGTAGAATAGTAGCCCGGGCAGCTTCTCCATATGATCTGCCATCCAGTTCAATTCGAAGATGATGCCATTGTTGACATGTAGACGAGCGTGTGGTTGGTCTTTCCCTCGTATCTTCTCGTAGATAGCTGAGAGTCCAGGCTTGAGTAATGGAAAGACGTTAAAACTCCATTCACACCACCCCGCGAGTTGTTGATACTCGCGAAGTGTCCACCGAAAGTTCCTTCCGCCGAATTGACGCAAGTGCATCACCAGCTCGTCTTTCTTGTGTGAAGGTAAGGTAGCCGACATGGCATTAGGGTCGACTTCGAAGCCTATGACTGTCAGAGGACAACCAAAGACTTGCTTTGGACGATCATGAGGGACACCAAGTTCGTCCCAGAGACGTAGTAGTCGAGTTTGCTTTTCCGGGTAGAAACATTCATAGGGTTCATAGTATAACGTTTTCCCCGCGAGTTCGAATGAAAAAGAGTCGTCCATATATAACTTGAGTGCCTCAATTAACGCGTGATGGATAGTGATCCAAGCGACCAGGGACATGAAAGAGATCCAAACTTTGGGGGATCCTCTTCCTCCAAAGTTGTTATTACGGTCTACATGGCGTTGTCCTCGTACCGTTAGCACCTGCTTGGTCTGCCACAGCGGATGCATTGGTAACCTACGAAAAGCTTGCGAGACGTCCGATTTGAATAGAACTAGTTGTTCATGAGGGTGCTGTTGCCGAAACTGAAGCAGCGACGCTCCCAGCGAATGTAAACCATCGAGCTTAGTTCCTTTGATGGCATCTGAATCGATCATGGAGTTGAGCGAGAATTCACCAGCAGTGTGGTCCACGACGAGACGTAGCTTATCAGAATTAGGTTTGGGAACAGTATGCATCGGCACACTATACATTCCAGGAAGTAGTTCCGTTCCGAAACTTTCAGATACTCGTCCCAGTCTTATTTCTTCTTCAAGCTGCTCATCAATGAATCTTTGTTGCTCTTCAGTCTTCGTGCAAGTGCGCATAGAGTTATCGTTAACGGAAGGGTAGGCTTCATCCGAAGCGTCGGCCCATGGCCAGAATCCTTCTCGAAGCGCTCGGCACACCGAAAGAACAAAGGGCTGATTAGGGTGGTTTTTCAACAGGCATTGAAACCGATCAACGTTGATTGGTGTTATTATCTTGAAGAGTTCTGGGTGAGCCGCGACCGTGTGGGCAGCATCACTATCTGCTAAATAAGCGGGCGCAGTTGGTACAGGGTCCGCATACTCTGTAGACCGAGCAGTTGGGCTGAACGAGGCGTCTAAGGGGGACCAAACCAAACCTCGACGAAAACGCGGACGTTTGAGATATGCCTCATGTTGATTTTGACTTGGTTTGATCTTCGTTATGCTTTGATCTGACATGACGGCGTCCACACAACCGGCCGTCCTGTTCAATGTTGCAGATATGGGCGTAGCGACAAGTGGCAGCGCTGCGGGTGCATTCGCCACTATTCCATTTGCGACATGGTTCTCTTTTGACGAGAAGATCTCGTCCTGCTCCCGTGGCTTTGTTAGATTCTCCCGAGTCATTGTGTAACCTTCCTCCGGCGGAGAAATGGGAGCTGTAGATGTCTTTGAAGCATTCAAAGTCGGACAACTCATACCTTCGAGTGTTTCCGACTCTAAATCTGACTGATTTGTCATATCGGAGGACGCGTCCATGGTAACTCTCCAATTGTTGGTCGAACTGCTCGTTGATGTGCTCGGAGTAGGCGTTAAGTTCAGCCTGTCTGAACGGGAAAGCGAATTTGAGGGCTCGTGCAGCCCTGTTCCATGCCGCGTTCCATTGGCCTTGTGTAGTGATCTTCTTCGTGGCCGTCTCTGATACTCCATAGGTGAGCTCAATGTCCCCAATGGTCTCCTTGTGCTTGTCAACGGCTCGTGAAGTGGTGATGATGGTGTGGATGGCGTCGAGATTGATGCTTCGTCCTGCAACAATGTCCGCCCATCCTGACTCGTGAAATTCTGGGCTGCGTTCATGGTACATGAGTTTGAG